TCGTCTTGGGTAGTTACAACAAAAAAGTGAGTTAGTGGGCTGAAGATAACATCACATATGGCACAATTTTTTTTTTTTGAAACAGTCCGTTAATTCCTCAGTCTCCTCTTATGTAATAAATTCCTCTTATGGTACCAGTTGAACTTGAAGCAAATTGTTTGGTTTGACAGAAGCTAAAAAGACAATTAACAGTGCTAATTAACACAGGAATTTACAAGATCATGGGCTCAGCCTTCAACCTCATATGGTACTGCATGTCCTATAAAATGGCCGCCTATAGCCTTGCTTCAGACTGTATAATTTCCCACATTTCTGTGGCAGACCTGCCGCAGACTGTTCCTGTGGCGTACTGGTATGCGGCAAGTCTGGAGCAAAGTTTCGCCCTGCCGCAGACCGTTCCTGTGGCATACTAGTATGCAGCAAGTCTGGAGTAAAGTTTCATCCTACCGCAGATCTGCCGCAGACTGTTCCTGTGGCATACTAGTATGCGGCAAGTCTGGAGCAAAGTTTCATCCTGCCGCAGATCTGCTGCAGACTGTTCCTGTGGCATACTAGTATGCGGCAAGTCTGGAGCAAAGTTTCATCCTGCCGCAGATCTGCCGCAGACTGTTCCTGTGGCGTACTGGTATGCGGCAAGTCTGCAGCAAAATTTCATCCTGCCGCAGATCTGCCGCAGACTGTTCCTGTGGCATACTGGTATGCGGCAAGTCTGCAGCAAAATTTCCTTCTGCCGCATACTTCGGCATACTCTTTGCCGCAGACTAAAAGTCTGCCGCAGATCTGCGGCAGGTCTGCGGAAGGTCTGCGGAAGGTCTGCGGCAGGTCTGCGGCATACTTTTCACTTTCCTATGGGTTGTTATCTTATAATTATTATTAGTAATGCAGCGATCAAAAAAAATGATAGCCTCTCATTTTTATATGCAGTTCTTCGGCAACATTAATTTGTGAAACATATTTCTTATTCGTCGTATAGAAAAAGACTCAGTGTTGTAACGCGAACATATTAGATGTACATTGACAATAATATTGTATCCAAACTCATGGTTTTACCTTTGGCAGGCTTCGCTGAGGCAGAGCTACTATGCAGCCACAACGTATACGGACTACCTGGTGGGAAGGCTTCTCCAAGCACTTGAAGACGGGGGTTACTCCGATAATACGATCATCTCACTCGTAGGGGACCATGGTAAGCACTACCTAATGGGTCTCTTTAGTGTGGACCTACTATACACTCTAAAAGAAAGTTTAGTAAATATTTCCACAATATATACCCAATTATTGGATAAAGGGAAGATTTTGGTAGAATATAACCTAATGTGGGTGAAATTATTTTACCCAATATTGAGTATTCCAACCAACACAAACATGGCATGCGCCTTTTTGTACCCGATATGTTTTTTTAAAAGATACAGCACTCGTTTTTATAAGTTTTAAGAGTGTATCAACTTATGGGTGATGTATGTCTTACCAAAACTGAAAGCGGGACATTAAACAAGAGAAACGAGATCCAAAGGAACCATGAAAATACAGAATTAGCGCATCTACGCACATCTGTGTGATTTTCCTGTGTCTGATCGAGGGCAAATGCCGGTGTGCCACCAATCTTAGTTATTAATTAGAATTACTCCACTGTATTCATTCTGTTTCTTTCAGGTTGGCAGCTGGGAGATCACGGCGAATGGTGCAAGTACTCTAACTACCAGCTGGCCACGAGAGCGCCGCTGATGGTTCACGTGCCAGGGGTCACCGACCAGAAGTCATCCACTACGAGGAAGTTTCCTCTCATCGACCCGCTGTCACCTAGTTTTCAGGGTCATCTGAAGGAAGATGGAATAAACGAGGTCGATTCGAGAGTTGACGAAATATTCTCCACACTACAAAGTCACCAGAGTAAAAATCAAATTGATTCTAGAGTCGATGACAGCTATTTGAGATTTCCACATGACCAGACGGATAATGAAGTGGTCGAATCGAGGAAATCTCCAGGATTGAAAACGAAAGGGAGAAAGGCACAATCAGAGAATGTCTACCAGATTAATGAGTTTGTAGAGCTTGTTGATTTGTTTCCGACTCTTGCCGAGCTGACAGGTCTCCCAGTGCCACCTGTGTGCCCGCCGAACCCTTTCAACGTGACCTTCTGCTCCGAAGGCTACAGCTTCGCGCCACTGATCCAAGGTGAAGAATGCCTTAACAGCAGCGCACGCCGCGGAGACTGCCGCGGTGCTGCCCCGGGGGCCATCGTCCGGTGGAAAAATGCCACGTTCAGTCAGTACCCTCGGCCTAGTGTAACGCCGGATAAAAACACTGACTTACCGAGCCTGGACCTCATCACTATCATGGGCTACTCAATGAGGACGGACCGGTACCACTACACGGAATGGATCGGTTTTAATCACACCACGTTTCAAGGGGACTGGTCAGACGTGAAAGCTAGAGAGCTGTACCTGAACGACTCGGATCCACGTCAAGATAATAACGTTGCTAATGAGGAATGTTATCGCAGTTTGGTGGGAAATTTAAGCCATCAGTTGCAAAGGGGATGGAGAGATAGCCTTCCAGTCTTTAAGACTAGAACCTAGAAGTTATAAGTGAAGTTAATTCCATGTATGTTACTACTTATTAAAAGGGTCGTTTTTCAAGTCTTTCCCAGTAGAAAACCGCAGTGATCCCCACCCCCGATCTGGCTATAGATGCGGTTCTAGGACACCTACCCCTGGCCATCCACCCCCGGATAACCACCCCCAGTGAACTACCCCCTAGGGCAACTACCCCTTAGGACAACTAACCCCTAGGACAACTACCCCTAGGACAACTACCCCCGGACAACTATCCCCAGACAACTACCCCCAGACAACTACCCCCAGACAACTACCCCCGAACGATTTTCCTAGGGGGTAAGTTGTCCGGGCGGCAGTTGTCCTGGGGTTGTTGTCCGAGCAGTAGTTGTCCTAGGGGGTAGTTGTCCGGGTGGTTGTTGTGATGATGATAATGATGAACAGCATTTGTATGGCGCCATATATCTGTTTCAAAAATCATTCAAAGGCGCGAGCTCCTCCAATAAAATTAGCATTTAAATTTCTGAAGGAAGATGTGTGTTTTGAGTAAAGCTTTGAAGTGGTCCAGGTTGTCAAATTTGCGAATAGATGATGCGAGAGAATACCACAGGCGAGGAGCAATAGAGGAAAATGCCCGATCTCCATATCCCTTGAGATGAGTAATTAGCATCTGGAGTTGTCAGGTAGTTGTCCCGGGGGTAGTCGTCCGAGAGAGTGGTTGCCCTAGGCCTAGGGGGTAGTCTTCGTCACACATGTGTACCGCCTTTAGTTAAGGTACATTCCACCCCTTCCCTTTGTCAATTTGGATACGCAATATCCAGGGGCGGATCTAGGGGGTTTCGGCGCATTACCCCCCCCCCCCCCTTGGGCGGCCAAGTAAAGATAACAAAAAAAGGGGGAGAAGAAAAAAAAAAGGGAAAAAGAAGAAGAAAAATAGTAAAACAGTAAAACGGCGAGATTTTTGGAAAATCCTGGATCCGCCACTGGGTCAAACCTCCCCCCCCCCCTTCCCTGGCAAAAAGCTAGATCCGCCCCTGATTTCTATTCATGGGCGCTGGTCAGCTACAGCCTTCCTGTCTAGTTTATCAGATAGGCCTATATCTTTATTTTGACAAAGGTCTACATTTTGTGCAAAAAAATGTAATCTTTCAGAGCCATATTTCAAGAAATGCAAATACAGGAATTTTCTGAACTGGGCGTGACAACAGAGTAAGACACTGTAAATTACTCACTAACACCCTAGCTATCACTATATCTACACAGGGTGTGACCATGACTAAAGCCTTGCTAATATATAGCCACGCGACGTAGATAGCAATATGCCAGCACCATGAAAAGTAAGGATCTCGTCGTCGTGACACAAGTGTTTGCCTATACCACTTTTATGCGGCAAGAAACTTTTCTCTTCCAGGTACATGTGTCACCAGTAGTGAAGCATGGTTCAAGCAGGGATATGTGAGTTTTAACTCACATATCCCTGGTTCAAGCCACTGATTGATTAACAAATTGATTCGTCACCATGCATAACTATGAATAAACGAAACAATATTATTACGTTATTACATATTTTGCTGTACGTTCTATATTCTTCAAGAAATAAAAGACAAATAAGTGAAGAAAGATTGGCAGTACGCGTGTCCGTGTGCGTGTGTGTGTCCGTGTGCGTAAACGTGAGGAAAAGAACTTGGCAATCAAGGAAGGCAGGTTGCATTTACAAAAAAGGGGGAAGAATTAGAAGTGAATATGAATGTGAGCATGTTGCCTTGCTGTGGTGCGTCAGTGTGTGCAGGGGCGAAGATCCCGGGGGGACGGATGGGGGAGGGGGGGAATACATCCCCTCCCAATTTTTGTAACGAAAATTTGAAAAGTGCCCCCCAAAATGTATTGCGTATACTGATTAAGACTACAACACACTTTTAAGCTCTAGAGGGCCCAAGAGTGCGCGTTTAGACAGATAAAAATGCAAAAATCTTCTCGCTCGGGAGATAAACTCCCTCTCATATATCCTTCAAAGTGTACAAGTATATATTGTAGAAAAGTGAAGCGTGAAAAAAGTATATTGATTGTTTTTTTTACTATAGTTTTGCTAAGGAATGTAAGTTTTTTTTAATAAAACAAAACTTCTAAAACCTGTGAGGGGAAGTCACTTCCGTCACATTTATCCCTCTCGTTCACTATGCTCCCTCGCACTGGCGTACTGATAGGGATGGGGTGGAGGTCAGTTGCCCCCCCCCCCCATGAAATTCAAACGTGATTTATTTCTAATCCGATACCAGTGATTAACAAATGTTGCTGAGTTGGCCTGATTTTTCCATGAGCTTTCGGGGGCTCTGCTCCCTGGACCCTACCAAGGGCCCTAAGGCGGGCCCCTGGTTGCTTACCTGACCATAATTAAATTACTAAAACCCCCGGTGGCGCCATAATTATATCTGTTTAAAAAAAACATTCAAAGGCGCGAGCTCCTCCAATACAGTTAGCATTTAAATGTCTGAAGGAAGATGTGAGTTTTGAGTGAAGCTTTGAAGTGGTCCAGGTTGTCAATTTCGCGAATAGATGATGGGAGGGAATTTCACAGGCGAGGAGCAATAGAGGAAAATGCCCGGTCTCCATATCCCTTGAGATGAGTAATGGGCATCTGGAGAGTAAGGCCAGATGAGCGAAGTCCAGGGCGAAGATGACGCTATATATGACAATATTTGGGGTCGATTATGAGTACAAGTGCTATCTCCGAACTAGTCTATTGAAGCACTTCCTGGTTTACCAATGTTCTAGATAGATAGGATATCAGGATCAGCCGGTCCATCACCGCGTGTAGTTACAATACACAACTAAACAAGCAATGTAAGGACGTATTGCAGGTACCTTTACCTCAGGAGATTGTTTTCGAACTGAGGCTATTAGTCCTTTAAAAATAAAGATGGCTTGGACGTGCTGTAGAAATATTTTGATAGCCGTTGCTTGGTCAATTTTCACGTCACTCGGCATTCAAACTACATTCGGTGAGAGTACTTGATTCGGCTTATTTTTTATATAAATAAAGCTGTTCATTCTGTACTTGATGAGTGGATTTCAGATTTGTTTCTTTGTTTCTTTGTTTATGAGTGTATTTTAGATAACTGTCTCCAGGTCTCCAAGTCTACTAGTACAGTTTGCTTAGTCAATGAATGATGTGTGTAATATATTCCACCTAGGGAAAAATATGCTCACATCAGCTTACATTGGCATTTATTCCCATATGTTAACCAACGGGGCTTCATGCAAGACCGGATCACTGATAAGGAAGGAAGGAAGGAATTACTTTGTTAACATAATGTGAAAACATAAGTAAAGTAAGAGAAATCTAACCTTTCCTTGTATTTTTTAGGGGGGGTGAACGTATACTCTTTGATGAGTGGTGGAATAGCCCCAATAGCAGCCATGAGTCTTGATTTCTGATGCTTTGAATAATCATGTAGAAAACGAAGGCAAAGCAATCTGATGCCGCTAGGCTGAGTTGAAATGTATACAGGGAGTTAGAATTCGCCTCTCACATACTTCCGGATAAAATGTTCTTATTTAATTAGTAGAGGTCAAATCTATTTTCCTTTTCAAAGTTAATTACAAATACTAAAGAGGTCAGTCAGGGAAGAAGGTGGGTGGGGGGGGGGGGGGTGGTCCGCACAAAACTATGCCAACATTTTTGTTACATATAGAGACATTGATTCTCCTACCTAGCAACAACTAAGATATGCAGTTCACATTCTGAAATACGATATTGAAAAACAATTATTCCTACCAGATGAAAGAAATAATTTGTATCGTTAAATGTGATTACAGTGCGAAAATTGCCTTTTGTTGCAGCGTCACAACTAGGGAAGATCACTACGTTCTGTCACAATGGGCGCCACATGGGCATTTATTTGTTATGTAATCCTTTCATTTAATTATCATGTTAGCTTACCCACGTGTGAAGTTAATTTGGAATATAACGTCTGAACTGAATTTGGTAGGCCCTTTTTATGTTCACGTATCTTTGTTTTGGGCTTAGACATGGATCCTACAAAAGAGTATACACGTTTCTATTTTTACATGCGGTATCATAAATTGGGTATCCGAATAAGGTCATCCAATGAAGAGCTTCTGCAAGTTTATGGTGACAATGAAACTTCATTTCAACAGGGAAGCCCCATCAGTGGTTTAAATAATATTATACTTGTGGGGCCCTGCATAACATAAAAATACATATAAAGACATACATATACATGAAAACATCATAACATGGTGAATAGTAAACATGATATACCAGAAAGAATACAGATTAAATTTCAAATGTAAATGTAAATATAAACTCAGCAAGTCAACAAAAAGTCCCCCCAAATCAGGTCATCAACAAATTAATACATACATACACAACAGTGTATTTTGGTTGTCATAGAGATCACAAAGACACACTTTTGAAAACTGAAATTATAAGTCTTAGACTACAGCTTTCATTTCATATCATAACTGATTATCATTTCATCACTAATAGCTTTGGACCAAGAAAGACCCAACGTGTTGTTCATTGTAATAGATGACCTACGACCATCACTTGGATGCTATGGGGGTCCCATCATATCACCGAACATCGACCAACTTGCAGCTCAATCTGCTGTCTTTACCAACGCTATGGTGCAGGTCAGTCACCTTTTTAGTTAACCACTTTCTTTGGTGTAACTTCTTAAATGACAGGATGATTACCAGCAAAGAAGGTACTAGTCAAGGGGGAAAAAGTACGTTGATAAAAGTCGAAAATGTAGCGGGAAACCGTAAAAAAAAATGAAACTGATTAATTGATTATTATACGGAATGTCATTAATTCTGAAAAGATGTGGAGGTTTTTTGGGTATGATATTGTGTTAAAAGGTCTACATAGGGCATTTCACAATTTTCAACATATTAAGTGGGAAATTAATGGCACAATAATTGTTTTGTGACCTCCCTATATGTCATATTTATTTGTGTAACATGTAACATTTTCTTGGTTGATTTAAATTGTTAAGATATGCAATGCGGCGAGTACAATAATTCATTTCGAATATCTTTTCAAAAAGTCAGTACCGAAGGAGAATCTCTTTATGGGTTTTTTGTTGTTGTTGTTGTTGTTGGGGGGGGGGGTCTTTTTGAGTCGCTAGTACTATCGTAAGCATCCACTATATTAGTTATTGGCCCCCTTGTCCCTTCTTTATTCACCATCTAACTCCCTCTCTCTCTCTCTCTCTCTCTCCCCCTCTCCCACTCTCTCCCACCCTCTCTTAAATCCCCTTCTCGGGACTGAAATTATTTACATTTTTTCTAAATTGAATATAAAAATGGGCTGATTGTCAAGTAAATTATTATTAGGGCAGCGGAGCATAGTGGGTCCAGCATTTGAGAAGACACCGGTCTGATCATAGATGAGGGAGGGAGGGGGGGGGGTCTCATTAGGAGGATGGAATACAAATTTACTAGGCTCCCCTTTCTCTCTTTCGCTCATCTTGTTTAGTAAGGAAATGTTAATATAATTCAATTCAATTTATTAATTTCATAAAATACAAAGATGTAGTATGTAATAAATTTCATCTGGAAAATCGCATTAAAAAGCCAGTGGCTTACAATAAAACACAGCAATTCCCCTTACAATTATAGTAATGAATACAGCAAATACAGAATACAAACAAAGCACAACACGAAACGAAGATCATTAAGCAGTAGTCCAAAACATTGGTATGGATATGATATTTGGAGCCTTGACGAAAAAGCTATTTAAAAAGAAAAGGTTGAACTCTGGTATATAAAGATGAACACATTGTTCTGAATTTTTCTCATTGTATTTTAATGAATTTTAAATTTTCCTGAAAATGATCGCGTTTCAAATGCCCTCAATTATGAACAATGGCAAACAATGAAATGTTTTAAATAAACCTTATTGCTAGAATGTGTGTTTCTAAAAAATGATTTCTGGACATCTTCATTGCTTTGATGTCGTTACTTTGGAAGAAAATAAAAGTAGGATCGTCCCTTGATAAGGATTCCTATATTCAGATACCCTCATTGAATACTTTGAATAACGGCGAGAATACGCTTAACAGTTTGGACCGGACACCCATTATGTCAATGTTACATGTGTATGTGTCTAATAAGTTTATGTCTCCATGTTCAGAATTAAAATGTTATATCAGCATGTACACGCTTTGGTATCATTTTATGCATGCAGCAATCTCTGTGTGCCCCAAGCCGCACGTCATTCCTGACGGGACGGCGCCCCGATACCACCAAGCTCTATGACTTCTACTCTTACTGGAGAGAAGCAGCAGGAAACTACACCACCTTACCTCAACACTTCAAAGAGAATGGATACTTTACTGCTTCAGTTGGCAAGGTCTTCCATCCAGGTACAAAATACGATAGACAAAAAGGAGTGAAAAGAGTCAATTTTTCACTTTAATGCCCCCCCCCCCCCCCCGGTGAGGTAAAGAATGTGCACTGTTGCACTGTAAAGTGCAGAATTGTTTTTAATCCATGCAGTGACGCTTTGGTCGATTAAGTAGCAAAGGGCCTTATAAAAAACAGTCATTATTTAATCGCGAATGGCATGAACACTTTCATGGAAAACAGAATAAAATGAAAAAACCATGCTATTGTATTGAAAACAAAATGTTCATGTGATATAAATTCTAATCATGAGTCCAATATCTCCGGTCGGAGCGATTCATTTGTTTCTATTATCCGTCATCATGTTGTGACAGCCTTTACAAAAAAAAAAAAAAAAAAAAAAAAACCCATGGTAGGCCTACAGTGCTACCACGGTACTATGATACAGACAATACTACCATGGCTCTATATAATTTAGTGTACCGTAATTATTATAATGGTAGTACCATTTGGTAATTTACTAATCAACATTATTCTTGTAATTTTAGGGAACAGTAGTGGTGGCAACGACGATTACCCGTACAGCTGGTCAGTGCCTGCCTACCATCCCTCAACCGATCAATTTATATATGCAAAGGTAAAGCCATTTGCTATATTGCTTATGTAAGAATTTGCCATTCCTACAAAAATATATAATAATTTATTCGCTATAACCTGCCATTTTCTGTCTTTTTAATGATAATTCTTTATTTTCGTTCCACACTTCGTCAAACATATCAAAATTGATCTATAGGAGGAAAAAATACTACCCCGATATAAAACAGTATGCCGGTTGTTCGACATAAGCTCCTGCGGTAATTGCTTCGTGATTAATTTCCAACACGGATCGATTCCTAACTTAAACCCTAAACCAAACGCTATGTCTAAACCCTAGTGAAAATACGGTTAACTTATTAAACCTAAAGTCCAATTGCAATCCTAATCATGCATCTCTGATAAAATACATTCCGAAGCAACTGTCGACGGAGCAATGTCGGATCACCCATGACCCAATGAATTTACTTATGGCGCTATTTAAGCCAGTTCGAATATAAAAATCTGCAGATGAGCACGTACAAATTTGTGCCCACTTTGTAAAACCCACAGAAAGAGATACTTAGTTATGTAAAAAGTTATTTAAATCAATATGCATTCATACACCGACACTGAATTTCATGATACCAACACGGACGTATTCATCTTGAAGGGGTAAACAAAATGATTCATAAAGCGATTCCATCTCTCTGGCATTGATTTTTCAAAGTGCGCAAAGTGGCACTTCTCCATGTTTCAAAGATCTGTGCATATTTATTTGGGGTTTATTTGTACATTCGCTATTAAACTACGAATTGGTCTATAGACAATTTGGGGATATAACACTATGAACATGAAGGACAAAGAAAGAGGACAAAATATAAAGTTCCTTATTCTACCCTTAACAATTGCTGTGGTAGACAAAAGAACATCTCTTCACTGCTATTATCATGTAAAAATGTGTAGAACAGGTGAATATGCATGTGACACCTGTTCTGCACATTTTTACATAACAGCAGGGAAGGGATGTTCCCTTGTCTACCTGAGGAACTGTATATTTTGTCCTCTTTCTTTGTCCGTCATATTCATAGTGTAAGGGGCATTCTTGATCCTGGATCCACGATTTCTTAATAGGTGTGTCCCAATCTGGACGGCAAACTGGGAGACAATGTGATGTGCCCTGTAGATGTGGATAAGATGCCAGAGGGAACTCTTCCAGATCTTCAGGCCTTCGAACGAGCTGCAGAAATCCTCCGAAATCTGTCGTCTGCCAAAGCTACCGGGGCGGAGAAAACGCACTTGCATGAAAGATTTGAAGATGGGAAAAGCAGCCTTACTAACGGTGATTACACAATTGTTTCTATATGCTTATGCTCCCATTAGTTTGATTTATGGTTATCCTTTAGAAAAATATGTTATGTTGGCGATAGTGGTTTTGATCTTCAAGGACGGATAATTCAAGATTTTTTTTTGAAGGGGAGAGGGGGCACACCTTAATATTACAAAAATAATGGGGGTAACTCTTCATGACATTATGTTGTCAATTGAGTTTCAAAATTTTCCTTGCCCCCTGGTAAATATACCTGGTAGTGGTATTGTAGTGATTGCATAATATATTATACACATGTACAATATATACCATCAATTCTACCTTAAGAATTTGATGGCAACCCCCACCTTCTATCGACGCGCCATCATTTGAGTTAAAGTACTTCTTTCTCGTTCTTATAACAGCTTCGTCACCTCCCTTCTTTCTGGCGGTCGGCTACCGGAAGCCTCACGTTCCATGGAAATACCCGAAGGAGTACGAATCCTTGTACCCCCTTAGCTCGGTAGAAATCGCCTCTAATCCGACCATGCCCGAGGAAATGCCGAGTGCGGCATGGGAAGTGTTCGGAAGGTTGAGAAAGCATTCGGACCTCAGACCATTAAAGCTACCCTTGCCATACGGTACCATTCCGCTGAACTACCATGTAAGATTATAGGATATTCATGACCTCGGGTGACCCTTGAAATTCTAAAGGCATATCATCCCGGCCACCCCACTCAGTGTTATTTAGGGTACGCATATGCGTGTTCCAACCGACCCCCCCCCCCTTTTCAGCAAAAGTCCGGTGTGTAAAGTCAATACGGCTCGACCTTTTTCTTTTGTATACGAGCCTTTTTCAGCACCCCCCCCCCCCTTTCAGCAAAAGTCCGGTGTGTAAAGTCAATACGGGTCGACCTTTTTCTTTTGTTACGAAAAGGACATTTTGGCAACACGCATGGGGTCCGTCGTTCTCGGAGTTGGGGGGGGGGGGGAGCCGGGCATATCATTCATTGATCAAATGTTGGTATCGTATTTGTGTTTTTTGTTTTGTTTTAATGTAATCACGGTTGAATCACCTGCTATCAGCCATAAGGCTGGGTTTCAGCAGGCCCGTTCAAAACATTCACATAATATACATAAAACTATTTAAAAAAAAATCATAATACAAATTAAAATAACAAGAATACAAATGTGTAAATAACTCTTAATATCGATCACTCTCAATATTTTAAACATCAAAATTATGAAGGAAAGAAAGGCAATTAATTCAAATCACAAGCATCTTATCATAAAAGCGGTTCATCAAAGAGAGCGAGGGAGGGAGAGAGAGAGAGAGAGGGAGAGAGAGAAATAAAGACGATAACAATTTTTCTGGAAATAGAATAAGGTTTTCGATTAGTTATGTGCATTTTGCGAAGATAAAACAGAACGCTGTCGGCTCTAAGCTTCCCACATATCTAGTTTGAAATTTATGAGCATCCTCATTTCTTCTAAGTGTAGCCTTTGTATCTAATTGTTGAGACCCTGACAGGCCGAGAACCTAGGTTGTCCTACCCGAAGGTAATGGTAATTAGGAATTAATACCATACAACAATAGCCTATAAGTAAGTAATTGCATCTCTTAGTCCATGAGTTGCGTCTGTGCATGAACACTGCGTCATTTTCCATCAATCTATACTGATCCATGCGTCTTTCTTTATTGTCTTTATTCCAGGGACCTATGCGTCAAAACTACTACGCGGCGTCCACCTTTATGGACCACCAAGTAGGTCGTTTGCTTAACGTTCTGGAAGAGTCTGGGTTTGCTAATAACACCATCATCGTTTTGGTTGGTGACCATGGTAGGTTTATATGTTGTCATAAACGTTCCACGGTGAGAACAATTCAGTCAAAAATCAATATCTATGATAATTTCAGAGTTTATTTCGGGGTAGCGTTAATCCGACTCGGAACCTTCACAAGAGATATATTTTTGATTATGTCATTAAGACGAGCGTGACATTCTATTGGATTATATCATTAATTAGAGGAGCGAATTACGTTGACCGAAAGACATAGAAATTGAGTGACGATATTTAAATAGTTTTTTCTTCATATTTCCGACTGTTTTATTATCGCATATGGCGGGGAGAATTACCTTCTTTCTGAAGTTCGAACATATCTCGATCATTTAATATAATTTTTAATGATATCTATTCACACATGATGGCAGCCCATTCAATATCATTTTAAAGATCTCTATTCACACATGATGGTAGCCTATTCAATATCATTTTAATGATCTCTATTCACAAATGATGGCAGCCCATTCAATATCATTTTAATGATCTCTATTCACACATGATGGTAGCCTATTCAATATCATTTTAATGATCTCTATTCACACATGATGGCAGCCTATTCAATATCATTTTAATGATCTCTATTCACACATGATGGTAGCTCATTCAATATCATTTTAATGATCTCTATTCACACATGATGGCAGCCTATTCAATATCATTTTAATGATCTCTATTCACACATGATGGTAGCCTATTCAATATCATTTTAATGATCTCTATTCACACATGATGGTAGCCTATTCAATATCATTTTAATGATCTCTATTCACACAGGATGGCAGCTGGGTGAACATGGAGAGTGGTGCAAGTTCTCAAACTTTGAACTGGCGACAAGAGCACCACTCCTCGTCCACGTTCCTGGTGTGACTGACACGCGCTGGATGGCCGCCGACAAATTCGAACTCCTTGATCCTCTGCTGCTGACGAAAAAAGACGCGGTTGAAAAGAAGCAGATGAATATCAAACTGCAGAGATACCTACATAAAAACGCCATCAGAGAAGTGGAAATACTCGATGAGCAAGAACGTTATGAATTTATCAAAGACTACAGCGATTTGGAACAAAATAATGGCATCCATGTGGATGATTTTGTGGAGTTTGTCGACATCTTCCCTACTCTTTCTGATCTAGCTAACATCAGCATTCCTCCAATATGTCCGCCGAAATCCTTCAACGTTGACTTTTGCGCAGAAGGTGTTAGTTTCGCCCCCCTGATAACAAACAAGATGACTTCGACACGTGGCGATATATCAGGCGGTAATTCCAACCGCGTCACAAACTTCACGCGGTGGAAAAATGCGACCTTCAGCCAGTACCCACGGCCAAGTATCGTTCCAACGGGCGAGAGTTCGGACGTCCCTCATCTAGCTAACATCACCATCATGGGGTACTCCATGCGGACGAGAGATTACCACTATACCGAATGGATAGGCTTCAATCACACAACCTTTGAAGGGAATTGGTCGGACGTCGGAGCGAGGGAACTCTATATTAACGCCCTCGATCCGGATCAAAATCAAAACGTTGCAGGATATATCAAGTATGGAACTCTTGTGAAAGATCTGAGCCAACGCCTGCAGAGGGGATGGCGCGACTGCTTACCAAACTAGACAGGACCCCCCATATTTGTATCGATCTATAACGTCTTGTTAAGTTTTTTTTTCTTTCTCTCTTCCGTGTATGCAGATCGACTAAAAGATAGGTTAGGATCACTAAATAGGTTTTGATGTAACCGTATTTTTTTTAATATTCACCCTTCTGTGCCACCCCGTTTTTGAGCATTCATGAGAAAAGAACTATTAAAAGTTGCATAATTTACTTAACGTCATATATTTGTTTCATTGGCAAACTGGAAATACATGACTATAGGGATTAGAGGTCACTCTAGATGAACCTGTTCCTGGGAGAAAATAATTATCTTATCATTGATTCGTATCATCACTACAACTTTTTTGTAATACCATGAAGGGTTGGTGCCTAGACATAACCCTCGAGGTCATTTATATGCCTATTCTGTTTCCTCTCTTTCTTTTTTACATTCATAATTATAACTTTATCAAATATTTGTACATTTCTATGTATTTCTTCAAGTGTTTGTATTTGCATTTTCTGTTTGAATCATATTTACAATGGAAATGAACAGAACTGGAGAATTTCTTTTGTTACGATAGCTGATCCGAGTCGAAAGAAAATGTTCATCACTAAGTTAACTTTCTTTTAATTTGCACCCCCCCCCCCCCCTCCGTGACATCTAAGGTTGATTTCCGTTGCCAAATATAGTCAATAAAAGGAAGGTATATTAAAATCAGTACTCAACTTTTTTTCAATGGAATCTTTTTGTCTGCAAGAAGATCAATTCTGCAATATACTATAGTATACTTTTGTATTGTAATTTTGTATTTGAAACAAAAATATATATCATTGTTAATGCTAAATATATAACTCATTGCGGATATAGTATTGAAAATAATATCGCTAGTAGCTCAGTCGGCCGTATAGAGCAGTGGTCTCGTGATCCGGTGACCCGGGTTCGAAACCAAGTCGATGCGCTAGTGCCCTTTGGTAAGGCATTAATCCTCATTACCAGGTCTCTCGGAGAGGACATAAAGCCGTCGGTCGTCTGGTTGCTTACTTACAAGCATTTATGCTTTCTTAGCAGTCAAGCAGTCAGGTAAAATAACCACCACCACACTCGTTCGTCGTGATCTTTTAGATCCCTTGTTGACCATACATTGCGAGACAAACGAATGTCACTAGCGATATTATTTTCGATATATCATTGTTGTTTAGCAATTGATGTAAATTAAGAATTATACTTTTGTATTGCATTTTGATTAATATTCTGAATGTGATGTAAAGTCAGTATGATATAAATTGCATAATTTTGATATGTACTACTTCTGGTATTGAGGAAAAAACCTATCTTATGTTAAAACAATATGGGATATTCATGGATCTCGCTATACCTGCAAGCGAGTGAATCGAGAGAGGAAATGGACACTTTAATATCTATAAAATGTTATCTCCTCATGAGAGTTCCCAATGTAATATATTTTGGCAACTAGCGATTTCTGATACCTTTTTATGAAGATGATATTATACCAAAATTTATTTTTTAATATAACTAAAATATAACCCGGTTGAAAAACGCTAGTGTGCTATTGAGGGGGCTGATTGACCAGGCCGGAAGGGGATATACACTTTGCCCCTTTAGAGTGGGAAGATATTTTGCCTTTTCATTTCTCTCTCTTTTCCTGTTTGCCTTCGACCTTTCATTCCTATTTACATTTCTTATTCTCTGTTGTAAACTACCTTAATGACGCAGATCGAACCCCAAAGCATTTAGCCATTTTTTCGATAATCGTTAAATGCACCTCTTTCAATAGATTTTATTTAGGATTCTGCACGTTGTCCCCACGGTGTGGATTCTCATTATAGTATAATCTTTGAAGAGCATTTTCGAGCAATCTCATGTTTATTTTTTCTTCATCTATTCTTTCGCTCTCGCCTCTTGTTTTTGGGACAGTTCATGGGGGGGAGCAAGTACCCAGGGATGCCAGTTAGAATTGATCAGAGGGCATGAACATCACACAGAATGAGCCATTTTGTACACAAAAAAGCCTAAACTATGACCTGAAATTAACTCGCCCGGGCCTGAATTCAGGCTTTTGACTGAAAACTGGCATCCCTGAGTACCACACTGAGAAGTAGTTGTAGTTGATGTAGTATTATTATTAGTAGTAGTAGTAGTAGTAGTAGTAGTAGTAGCAGTAGTAGTAGTAGTAGTAATAGAGTACCCTCATCATCATCATTTGCAGGGGAAGGGTTGAATGTAGTGATCTTTTTGTAATTAAACAGCCACAATGTTCTTTGAATACGAGTTATAACAAGTTCAACCCCGCGCACCCGTCCTGTTTCATCTCTTGCTTGACACTATGAACATGACGGACAAAGAAAGAGGACAAAATATACAGTTCCTCATTCTACCCTCAACAATTGCTATGGACAAGGGAACATCCCTTCACCACTATTATGTAAAAATGTGTAGAACACATTTTTACATAATTCCCGTGAAGGGATGTTCCTTTGTCTACCACAGCAATCGTTGAGGGTAGAATATGGAACTGTATATTTTGTCTTCTTTCTTTGTCCGTCATGTTTATAGTGTGATCCCCTCTATAACCACCCCACTTCTCCGTCTCTCTGTGTGTCTCTCTATCAATTCTCTGTATCACTCCCGGTCGCTTTTCTTCATTTCTCCCATTTTCTCTCTCTCCCTTTTAACCCCCTCTCACACTATCTCTACCCCCTTCTCTATTAATTCATCTCCCTCTTCTGATAAATATATATATATATATATATATATATATATTCTCTCCACCACAGCAACCATCCTCATTGAAACATTTATCTTATCAATGTTCTCCTCTCATCTCCCTGCAATTTGGGAGTAACAACTATACTCATATCAAATGAATGAGACAAGACGAAATGAGTTATACCATGTAATTTAAAAACAGAAGTAGTATATCGCAGTGTTCCTCATTGTGTTACAACATTTGTGGCACAACTGAATTTGATGGCAAGTGTTAGTATGATTTTCATAATTTTAAATATATAATCTAGTTATTATTTACTCATCATTGACGATAATTCCCCGATTTCACAGAATATATATAAAACATTTACCAACTCTATGTTTTACTTAGAAATTAATACAACTAATTATTTGGTTATAGTCATGACTTTGAAGGTTACCTCAAGTTAAATATCAATGTCTCTATGTTATATTCATGTGTGTGCGGTTGGGTGTGTTTGTTTTGCTTTGGTTTGTAACACATTATCATTTTTTCGGCTTCAGTTGTGAATTGTATTTGCTGTATGATTTTTACAATAATGCTACAACATATATTTAGGGGTACATGTTCATGATTTTTTTGTATTGCAACTGGAAGGATAAATAAAACCTGATAGTACTTAAAAGGGTCTGCAATGTCAGACTATGATTTATCTCAACATTGCTTTGTTTGTAGATCTGTTCTGGAACTGACCTTTTCCTTCCTGGGCAACATTTAGGTAACGTTAAGATAGACACAGTTCGTAAAGTTCACCATTATAATTATCGCATGTACCAATGTATTACAAGCTTTTGGACCTTTGTGCCAACAAATGTACCTAGCTTTGAGCTGATCTATATAAAACACAGTGTTCTTTGATTCAGTCATTAAAGCAAGGTCATTAAATTACTGAAGTAAGGATGATGATCAATATAAGTATTTGGATAATTATGAAAAGTCCTTATATAGATTTACAAATGACTTAGAAAGGCCTAAAAATGCCACAAGACATTGGACTTGTCTTTGTTCTTAGCTCTTGTAATTGAATATACAGTATGCCTTAATCAATCATACAACATACAGTGTATATCTCATGGAACAAAAATACTAGATGCATGGTTTCATTATCGATTATACAGTGCGTCCCAGAAAAACGAAACCGAGAAGTATCGATGTTTTATCATAACTTAATCACAACCATAATTAATGAATGATACATATTTGGAAAGCTTAGAGTCTCCTCTTTCAGTTGATGCTACTCACGTTATGCATATTTCACGCATGAGTGATAAAAAGCAATTTGAAGGAAGGAAACCAAAAAGTAATTTGGCGGGTGGTATCTGAATTTCAAAGAAAAATTCATATTTCCAGAAAGTTCATTTTCTGCTCTTTCACACGATACCTCAATCAAGAAAAATGAGACAGGAATAACAAAGTTCTGTTTGTTTAAAGTAGGCCTTACATTTTCATAATTTTAACAAACGAATTCGTTTTCACTGGGTGCCTGCCGTAGCAAAAAGCAGATTTGATAAAAGACTTAACTCCGTTTCGTTGACAATCAGCCATGCAATGAGACTCTCGTCTACGGCTGATTGTCAACGAAACGGAGTCGAGTCTTTTGTTAATTTGTAATAATTTGGTCTTATCTAACAATTCAGCGGCCTTTCACTTTTTCACCGCAGACGATGCAGACGAAAACTTAAGGGGAAAAATACTTGTATCTTCACACAAGGTCGTTGGTCACAAAATTCGGCTTCGGAGAATCAAAATCCACTGAGACGTTTTATTGTTAAAGATGCGCCGCACACAGGACTTAGTAAAGAACGGTTTAGTGAAACTGAAACACCAACAGGACGTCAGTAAGACCCGTCTTAGTGTATGACGCGTCGCATCGACACTAAGTCCCGTTACACTCAGTACTGTTTAGTGAGACAGGCCCCACGAAGTTAGCCACATGTATTGTAGGCCCTGCAATTTTCGTTGCCTCAGTATCACTAAGTACCCATTTACACCTGAGGGACAAATGTGGGCAAAACACCTTGTCCAAGGATGCGCGCACTGAGCATCTGAATTGTCCAAGGCCAACATGAGTATTCTTGTTTGGCATGCATGTAATCAGCTGATTCCTGACATGTCAATTCAGAAGAAGACTAAAGATGACAGAGACATTAAACATCTTTGTAAGTTCTGTGGTATAGACAACATGAGTGGAAAAAAGAACTCTGTCCTGCATATGGTCAAGAGTGCAGGAAGTGCCACAGGCCAAATTTTGCCAGAATGTGCAAGCTAGTCTCGGCCAACAGCCCAGATAAATGAAAAGCCAAAAGAAAACAGTACATAAAATGACAAGATAAACCAGGTGGGCATACTGAATTCTTTGTTGAGGTTGTCCATGCAGAAGATGATGGAGACTGGATGATTGATCTGGAAGTGGATGATAGAAAGCTGCGTTTCAAGTTAGATACTGGGGCACAGTGTAATTATTCCACAAGTTGTACAAGAGGAGTTGAGAGCCCTAGCTATCACTAGGTCTCGTGCTCGGCAAGTGATTGTACTCAGGACACAAGATCACACCCAAAGGAACAACAAACTTCCTTTGTGAGCACAAAGATGTGTATTGCAACCTTAAATTTCAATTTGTCGAACAGCAGGTGCAACCAGTTCTGGGATGGAAAACATGCAGAGAACTGAATTTGATCCAACGTATCCTTTCGAAACCAAGCTGATGTTCTGACCAGATATGAGGACGTTTTTCAAGGACTGGGTTGGTTGTATGCCAGGGGAGCAGAGGATCAAAGTGATGCCAAACCATGCAGTGGTTCAGCCCCAAGATGAGGCCATGTGGCACTGCATGAAAAGGTCAGAGAGGAACTACATCAAATGGAAAGTCTAGGAGTATTTCAAAAAGGTCAAGCAACCAAGATGTCATTTTCTGGCCTGGCATGAATGCTGAGATCGCGTCAGGTTGAGGAGTTACTCGGGTCAACATATCACAGTGTTAGGAAGCAAATAGGTTCCAGTGAAATAAAAGAGGCAAGAGGTTGTGTTGCCTCTATTTGTAGTGAAGTGCAAGAAGCCTGCATTGTTGGGTTGAAATTGGCTTCGTTACATCAAGCTAGATTGAAATGAAATAGTCAACGTCGAGTCCAAGTCAACGTGGACATGAAGACGACAGAGGATTTAAGCAAGGAGTACCCGCGGGTATTCAGTGAGACAGGAGACTCGATAACTTGATTCAAGGCGAAAGTGCGAGTGAAGAATGATGCTCATCCAATTCAATGCAAGGCACGACTGATGCCTATATGCATTGAAAGAGAAGGTTTTAAGAGTTGAAAAGGCTAGAAAGCCAATAGGTAATCACTAAGGTTAAAGGCAGTGAATGGGCAACCCCTGTAGTAGTTGTCCCCAAGTCATATGGGAGTGTAAGGCTGTGTGGGAATTATAAGGTAACAGTAAATCAGTTACTACAAGGTAATATGCCAGATACACTATAGCTATGGCAGAGGACTTGTTTAGTTGCCTAAGGGGAGGGGGGGGGGGAGACAGGTTTTCTCAAAGATGGATTTAACCAATGCCTATCTTCAACTAGAGATGGACGATGAGTCAAAATCTCTGTTGAGAGTCAAGATAGTCATGATCCAGACTTTTCCAACATGTCTACCATGCTTAAGAAACTGTTTTGCGAGGATGAATTCATCTCTGCCCTGGAGAGGTGTGTGGAGAAGATCCTAGCCAAGCGGCTTCAGGCCAATGAAGACCGGCTTGATAGGCAGGAAGGTGAGCTCATGGAGTTGCGGAATCAGCTAGATAAGAAAGAGGCTGAAGTTCAGTCCTTTCACTCTCGATGAATAAGCTGTCAGAGGAAGTGGATATGTTCAACATGCGGGCTAATGATCTTGAGCAGTACAGGAGGAGGAATTCTGTCCGCATATTTGGCGTTCCTGAGTCGAAGGGTGAGGTCACTGACCAACTTGTGATCAAGGCCGTGTCTGATCACCTTCCATGCGAAATTTTGCCTTCTGATATTGATCGGTCACACCACTCAGGCAATCCTCGTCCTGACGATAAGAAGCCCCGCCCCATCCTCATGAAATTCACTCCGTACAAGTAAAAGGCAGCCATGATGAAGGATAGGAGACGTCTGAAGGGTTCTGGAATCTCGATCCAAGAGGACCTGACTAAGACGAATCACCAGATCCTGATGAAGCTTACCAACCAACCTAAAGTTGAGGCTGCTTGGTCCATCGACAGGAGATCATGGCCGCCTTAAAAACCAGTGAGGAGGAATTTCTATGAAAAGGGCCTTCTCTTCCCTTCGACAAGTTTCAACCTTGTAATGAGTTGAAACATTCTTAAATACCTGGTAACTCTTTATCAATCCCAGAGGTTTTGCACCGACTCTTTTTCTGAACATCTTTCTTGCTTGTAAGATTTTTTTTTTTTTTTTTTTTTTTTTACATATTACACATGTATCCATTGATCTTTTACTTTGTATTTAGTGTTGTGTGTGTGTTGATATGGGTGTTTATGTGTGTATGTGTGAAGGCTCCTCCTCTACAATTTGATCTGTTTACTTGTTTAGTCGTGTCCAAATTCAGAATATAGTTCACCTAGTACTCCTTTGTTTTAGCAATTACGTATTTCGCCTTTTGATGAATTGGTATCTCTTAATTGCGTAATATTTATGTTTAAATGTCAATCACTCCAGTATACATTTTTGACTAAAGTAACTAATGTGTTTGTGGAAAACTCTTCCATCCATCATTATCATACTCGTCAGAGTAACCTTATCCATCAGTCGTACGCCAGGACCCATACTGCCTTAAAATCATTGAGAACTGTCTGTGTTAAAAAGTGGAATAAGTTACCCCATTATATAATTAGTAGTACTACATTGTCTCGGTATAAAATATCTTGTAAAAAACACCCTTTTGACAGATTGCTATCAGGTACATGAATGTATAAAACAAGATGAGGTAGCCATGTATGAAGTGTACGTTATGTGTGTGTGTGTGTGTGTGTGTGTGTGTGTGCGTTTGTATAGGGTGGTTTCTGGGGACAACCATCTGAATACACACCTTCTTTGTGGGGATACGTGTGGATCTGGGGATATCCCCAGAGGGAAAAACAACAAATTAATCAATTAAATCGATTTTATGAATGATAAATAGTGCCCTGTAGTGATATGAAGCCAGAGAAGATGGTCCGTCAAGGGATCTGCTCCAGAAGCTGGTCCTTCAACAAAAGCCCCAGCAAGAAAAAGGCAACGAATTTGCAATGAAAAGCAAATGAAGCAACCGAAGAAGCCAGGTCAAAGTGATTTCTGTGCCATTAGTGCTTGGGACTCAGCCAGTGACGATACGTGCAAAGATGAAATAAGTGATGATGACGAAGTTAGTGACCATACCGATACACATATTTCCTCTTCGGAATCGTATGTTCCGTCGTCATGTTTAGAATCTGAATCTCATGATAGCAGGAAATGGTGCTACCGTTGTCCTTGAGGCGCTGGAGATCCAGTCATGCATATCAAGTTAGTGAGGGCAAATGTGAAGAACATAATGACAAATCAGACCAAGAAGACGGAACAAGCCTTGACAATAAGGTGGCTATTACTGTGATGACAACCAAAAACGGGCACAAACGGTGTTATGATAAAATTGCCTAATGTTTCATGTGTAAAAAACCTCACAAAATACTCTCTGTACATCTGAAGCAGCATCCCAATAATACTTTGGTTGCAGAAATGCTAGCACTTTCACCAAAGTCGAGGAAGAGATCGAATCTCATCACAAGGGCCAGAAATCTTGGTAACCATAGACACAATGTTGAGGTTCTAGAAGAGGGGAAAGGAGAAATCATTGTTGTGCACAGGCCCACATGTACTGAAGACTCCTCACATTACAGTCCATGTGTGCAGTGTCTTGGGTGGTATTCAAGAAAAGAAATGTGGAAACACACCTGCTTGGAAAAGGATGAACGAAAAAAAGGAAAGAGAGGTGCAGTTCGTGCAGGACAGCAAATAATCCCATCAGCTCCTGGTATCTCTGAGGGCCCATGTAATAGGGTATTGAGTGGGTTGAAAGATGATCACATATCTCGAGTCATTTGAAGTGATCCATGCATTGTTGCACTTGGAAGGAAGCTGTGCTGCAAATTGGGTCACGACAAGAGCCAGGACAACTACTAAGGGAAATCTCCCAGCTTGTTATTGAGTACAGGAAATATGAAGGTAAAAGCAATGCTGGACTGAGAACCCTTGTACAACCAACTGAGTTCCTATTTGTCACAGAGGCAACAAGGAAGGTTGGTGGCTTTGATGAACACTTGCATACCTTCTCAAGTCCCAGTGTTGCATTGAAGCTTGGCCATACTCTCAACAAGGTTTGTCTGATGGAACTAGGTCATGCGTTGATAAGGGGAGATGAGACTGCTGAACACAAAGCGAAAGGTTTCTTGAAACTGCTAGAAAGCAAATGGAACGAGGAAGTATCAAGTCATGCTCTGCGTACTCTGAATGAAAGAAAGAAGAACCACATAAAACTCATCCCGTTAACCGAAGATGTTGTAGCCTTATGCAACTTCCTGAAATCGGAACTTAACTCAAAGCAACAAACATTGAAGAAACTGGCAAAGGTTTTGCTTTCACAGCTAGACCATTGCATTCAACAGAAGAGGCCAGGGAGAAATGTCCAAGATGACAATAGAGGATTATCATCACTTGCACAGGGGTGATTCAAATGTCTTCAGTACTGATATGCTGAGCAATTTGGAAAAGGAACTTCTGTCTTCTGTGAAGTAGCAGATTTAGGAAAGAGGTGTGCAAAATGAAAAGACTAGCTGGTCCTCTAAATGTGGTTGTTGACGCTAGCACAATTATATTCGACTCTCATATAGGGTTTCGGATTTGAACATTAAATTTGTTTACTACATAGTGTGAGTATTAATGGCAGTTTAGTTGTTATTAGGAATTTGTTATCACAATTATGTATCATATATAATATTGTTAAAACTTGTAGGCTAACATTAATTTTTAATTTTTGTTCAGCGATTAAGCGCTTTATAAATGTAATATATTATTATTATTATTATTATCAATATTTTACATACACACAGACATTGTGTACTCTTCGGAAGACGAATCATCAGAAGTCAGAGAAGATGATCTGTCAGCAGAAGCCCAAGAAGAAACCCCAGAAAATGAAATGAGCAATAAAGGTAAATCTTGTTCAACCAAAATAGTAGTAATATATATTGTTACATGCACCCACTTCATGTATTTTTATTTGTGATATCGACCTAGGTGGGGAAGCTCAGCGATACAGAACGGTGAGTGGCTACATCAGACAACATCAGAATCGATTGAAGACTGCAAGAGCCATGGCCGCTAAGCAAACGAAGGCTAAGCAATCATATCACCCTAAATTTGTGAGCTCCAAAGGATTTACCTCTCACAAATTGGAAGGCTAAATCCTGCACAACCTAATTTTCATACCCTTTACAAAAGTGAGCAGTGCTCACCCAAGCATGAATTATTTTCAGACTTTTTGGTGTCATATGAAAGTTGAGTTTATGAGCTTTCCATACATATAAAACTTTTCCCCAGAATCATATATTTTTTATTTGGCAGCCATTTCAAAAGTGTTTTTGGGGACGCACAGTATTACCTTGGCTCTAGTAATGAACATGGATTTGAGTGATTTGGGGGATTTAAATTACAATACACATATTTAAAAACTTCCTTAAAAATATTGCATTAATAACGATCCCTTTGTAGCACACTTTTAAAAAAAAGGCAAGTTAGAAAAAGCAGCAATATAGGCATATATAGTCATTTAGTATAAAATTTAAATTTAGACAGGCAAGGAATCCCTCCATCCACGCATGAGCTTTATGTGCAAGTCCTGGATTAAATCTTGATAGTCTAGACTGTCAGCTACATTGTCGTCCTCAAGTGGATCTGTGGCCAACACATAAAGCTCCCTCGCATGAACATCCTCCCAATCCCCCTGGAAAATGGAATGGTTGAATCCGATCCACTCTGTGAAATGGTAGTCACTAGTTCGCATGGAATATCCCATTATGGTGATGTTGACTAAATGGGGGAGGTCAGACTCGAGTGTTGGCACATCGCCTGGTCGTGGGTATTGACTGAAGGTTGCGTTCTTCCATCGGGTGTAAGAAACCCCTTTTCTACCAAAGCCTCTAGTGATGAGGGGTGCAAAGCTTACCCCTTCCGTGCAGAAATCAACCTTGAACGGATTTGGAGGGCAAGTACTTGGCACTTGGAGTCCAGCTAATTCGGCAAGAGTTGGGAACATATCTACCAGTTCGACAAATTCATTCACGACTTGTCCCTCTTTGAGAACACTAGAATACCTCCTTTCACCTGACTTTTTATTCTTGAGTAGATCCTTCAGAGGAAACTTCTTTGTCCTCGGCTGTTTTTGCACATCTGTAACTCCCGGTACATGAACCATGAGTGGAACACGAGTGGCCAATTCAAAGTTAGAGAACTTGCACCATTCTGAATGCTCTCCTAGCTGCCATCCTGTCAAAAAATAAACACACAACTTAAGCAGAATCTGATAAATTTTCTGGGAAAACATTTCTTCTAACTTTGGCACAGAACCATGCCCAATATATGAAATGGAGTTTGGTTTGGTTTGGTTTTATTTTCCGTATAAAAATTATACAATTTACAAATACAATACAAATCAAGAATTAAAAACGGCTGGAATGCTCTATTCAGAGCCATTATTAAAACGGCTCTGTTCTTCCTAGAGGTCCAGGAGTGCTTGGTACTGGTGAATCTTTATTGAGCCTGCTAAATACAAAAAAGTACTACATTCATTTTCCACAAACCTAAGATCAAGATACAGAGAAACCTGTATATAGAGATCATTCAACTAAGAGAGACAAGAAAATGTGGTCGTTATAATTATGCAGGTTGTCACTATAGACCCAATGTTCATGAGATAAAAAAGATGCCACTGTTTACCTTAAGACTCAAGAAGTCTAATCATTTATAAACCCATTGCCAAACTCCTGGGCCCCTTTTCATGAAACTTCCTATAAAAAACTGAGTTAAACTAACTGTTATAAGCTACTGAAATTATTGCATTTGATTTGTTATCAAATTTAAACTTGTTATTAGTTTTATGAAATGAGGCCCAGAACCAGCATAAAGGTTATTAAAATACAGACAGAAAACCCCTTCCCTAAGAGAAGATATATGAATAAAACAAATACTATATAATGGAGAAGAAAATTGGCATTATTCTCGACAAATTCAATTAATTTTGTGAGCAAATTGTTGTACATACCATGGTCCCCAACAAAGACAATAATGGTGTTGTTCGCAAAGCCGTTGTCTTCCAAGCCCTGAAGCAATCGTCCCATCTGGAAATCTGTGTATGTGGCAGCGGCATAGTAGCTCTGCCTAAGTAAATACTGACGTATGGAAAGAATACAAAATATATTACCTGATACACATTACAATGACAAAGCATATAACTTACCATAATAATATCAATAATACTAACAATAGTCATATTTGTAAATCGCTTACTAAAAGTAGTATGTTTTTATTTTACATTCTTATTTTCATTACCACGGTAGATTCAATGCTAATCTGCACATGATAGTGCATGTGCTCTGCACCCTGGGGAGTATTCAGGCCAGGCGCTGTTTTACAATTGCACACATACCACATACTCCAACGTTAGCATTAATGTTAGCATTCTACCGGTACCCGTTTCACACTAGGGTGGAGAGTAGTAAATAAAGATAAATGTCCTGTCATCTGACATTGCTGTGCCTTGAAAAGGACTAAAGGAATTATGTCCCATTTGCAGGCCAACAAAAAAAGAAAACTTCCAACAGCATAAATGAAAAATAATACTAATTATAGGTCTGCTATAGTTACAATTGAGTTCTAAATTCTAAAAGGAGAGTAAGATTATTTTATTTCAACTCCACATTAGTTCTATATTTTATAGCTAGAAATTCTAGTTTACATTGGGTGACAGCAGTGGGATTCGTACTGAAGCCATCTAAATGACTAACGCCTGAAACCAATGTAACACAGAAACTAATTGAGACTACGGCATCATTTAATAAAACTGTAATAATTACATGTTTGCTGAAATCCCACTGAAGCGTGTATTAATTTTAAAACAGATGTTTCATTGGGATTTCAGCGAACTTTTACTTGACAGTTCCTTGAAACAATTACCCTAACTTTTTGTCTTCTTCTTATGTCAGTGTATGTAAGAGGCAAATAGACGAGATCATAAATATTCCCCTCCTTTCTTACTTACATGATAAGGTCTAGGGATAGGACCATAAGGGAAGCTGATATTGAGAGCACCAATGTCATCCCGCTCCATTAGGCTTGTGTAGGGCTCAAATGCCACCGGTGGTAACTTAGGAGGCAGGTCAGGGTTGGGGGCAATCTCCACCTCTTCAAGGGGGTAGAGAGCACGGTACTCCTGGGGGTACTTGAAGGGAACATGTGGTTTATGGTACCCCACGCCCAGAAAGAAGGGCTGTGAGGTATCCTTGGTGTGCTGGGAGCCACTCTCTTTTGAGGCAGACTTGCGAGATGGTGAGGAGGGTGAAAGGGGTTGAGGTGACCTTGAGGCAAATTGTTGGAGAAGGTCAAGGGCGTGGTCGGTACTTTGAATGTCAGGGAGACTCTGCAAGGGCATCTCTGTGACATTGACAGGACATATGATGTTCTGATGAAGAGTGCCATCCATGTTCTTGCATACCTGTTTCCAACAAGATAAGAAAAAATGATAGCATCACACTAATACTGGTGGCAGCGGTGGGATTTGATTAGTTACTGAATTGGAAAAGCACTATATATGAAACAAGAGTAATTATTATATACCTCACTTAAGTAATCCAGCAATCTGATTGGTCGAAATTGCATTCATAAACTTAAACTGTTCCCGAAAATTCCCGGTAACCATGGTTAAAAAACAGTTCAAAATCCCAATAACCATGGTTATTGGGAAAATAGGTCAGTCTCCATGGTTACCCCATAGGTTTACATGTTAAAAAATGGTCTGAGCGATCGAGGATACCGTACGTGTGCGAAGAATTGGTCGGTAATTTCAATACAATTGAATCTCGATCGATCTTACCGACAATTTTATCTTGCATTGTTGACATTAAGACGAAAATAAACTTCCAAAAACAAAAAACATCTGCCGATAGATCTTGATCTAAATTCGTGCCAATATGCATTGCAAAAGTAAAAGAAGGGCCTGTTTAATGGAGCAGCCGCGAAGCTTCCACCACGCGAAGCCGTTTTCAATCCATTTTAATGTATATATATAAGAAAAAACTGCAACGTATGGTAACAGAGCGCGATAGCCTAGCGGTTTAAGGCGGCGGTTTTCGATACATCACCTTTGGTACGCAAGAGATCGAATCTCATCTTCGACAAAAGTTTTTTTTTTTTTTTTTTTTTTTTGGCATATAAAAGTATTAATGACTGCTTTAATATTCGAGAAATAGTTGTTTTTATACGCTCAAGGGAAGGTTAGAATTGTGCTATTGCCCCGAGGCGTGCCGAGGGCAACAGCCCAATTGTAACCTTCCCGAGAGCGTATAAAAACAACTACTTCTCTCAAAGCAGTCATTAATACTATACTATTAAACAATTATTATTCAAGTTAAATGTGATTTATCTAAAAAAGCATCACGTCTATATGAGTTTGGATTATATCCAACACTTACACAGTACACAGTCACAACATACCCTCTAAATTTCCCTATATCCCTCTAAAAGCCTCTTGAACATTTTCAACTATATATTTTTTTTCTTCAAGGAGAGTTTGGAAGGTTAAGAACAAGACTTCCTGTAGGGGATGTTTTAGTAGTCCCGGGGGGGGGGGGGGGGGGGCATAACTTGCAAGCCCCACAGCATTGGCTGCAAACCTGGCCAAACAAAATGTGGTTTATTCTTTACTAATCATACCTTAGCTCTCTTGTATTCCTGCGTTGGAGGATGCCATGCTTCTACAGACCAACTGTATGGGTAGTCATCGGTTCCATTTGAAGCTTTACCTGTATTGAGATAATGACACTTTAAAATATTCTAGTTCCTTATTTGAATAGTTTAAAATACCAATATCTCATTTCAAGTCTATTAGATCTTAAACACCTCTTTGCAAGGAACCACATACTTTAAATGATGAATGAGTATTTGTCAGATATCCGGAGCCTTTAATGCTTTCATGCTCAGTGCAGAAAGCTGCAATTTCCCCATAATTTCTACTTGATCTTTGATATGTTTTGACCAAGAAAGAAAAGCTTGTCTTTCTTCCTGAAATTCAAGAGAACCTGATTCGAATTGGGATTTTTGTCTTGGAATATTGCAATATTTGCTGCATGAAAAACAAAAATTAGAGGTAGATTGAAAGTGGAAAAGGTTTAGGATTGGAAATCATCCAAAAGGCCTCGTAACAAGACAAATGCCACCGCGTCTCCTATATGTCTTAGCCCTAAATTCAGTATAGGAAATGTATGATATTATTCATGACATATCATATTAAAAACAAAAAGTCTATGATTAAATGTCAACTGACGACTATGATCTTGACCTACTGGCCCCAAAATACAATTGGATCATCTATACTAATACTGTCACCATGTTTAGATTTTGAGATAGCAAGGCTAAAAACCTTTAATTTCATAAATTTACTTCTGTAACCTTTGACCTACTAACCAGAAATCTAATTAGCTTGTCTTCCGAATGTTGATACAACATGTATACAATCACCAAGTTTGAACCCCATATCTCTAGTGGTTCATAAGATATTGCAATAGTAAGGCCTAAAAAAAAAAATTGATGACTTGGCGTAACCCGCCCGACCCTATTTTTATCGCCGACCCTACGCTTTTTTATTTTTTTTTATCCGATTGCGATTGCGTAAATATTGATATCGCAGTGGGGAAAACCCGGATGTTTGTTGCTTTCGTTCTGGGCTTTGCCGCGCCGTGTTTGGGCCAGCTCGCGCGCCGAGTGCAGCGGGCAGGTACGCCATAGTACCGCTAGGCGATTGTATCCCCAACATGGCGTCCTATGGCGTTCAGTTCACGGGTAAATTTGGTGCTCACTTTTTATTCAGCGTTCTTCGGAAGGTGGACATTGAAGCAACAATCGGAGAAATCGTTCAAGATCTGGCCGCTGATAATTTTGTGGTTAAGAACATCAAGGCATCTAAGGAAACTGTGGTCCGTTTTCTGATTTGCTGTTGTCTGAAACAGTGTCACTATTACAAGATTTCGGGTATCGATACATGAGGGTGTATGTACATGTACATGTATGTATGCAGGGGGGGGGGCCAGGTGTATGTATGCATCCCCCAGGTCCCAAGGTGATCAAGATTTCAACAATTTCTTGCTCACCGTTTGCTCACACAGTGTGTGTGTCCATATATGTGTGTGTGTGTGTGCGTGGAGTTATTTGAACATATTGTGGTCTACCCCTCTCATCAGATCATCCCCAAGGTCTGAGGACCTATCTACGCCACTGTATGTATGTATGTGTATAAATGGCTAATTTCATGTATGCAAATATAAGCAACAACAACAACAAACAAACAAAAAAACACAAAAAAAAAAAAAAAAAATCGCCCTACCTACCCTAATTTTCAGTGACCCGTTACGCCAAGTCATCAATTTTTTTTTTTAGGCCTAAGGCTAAAACCTGTAATTTCAAAAATTGACCTTTGTGTTGTTAGACCTTTGACCTATGTATCCGAAATCTTATCACATGATCATCATATGTTGTGACATGCTATCACCAGGTTTAAGCCTCATTTCTCTAAAGGTTCTTGAGATATGGGGGGGGGGGGATGGGAGGCATTTAAAAGGTGAAAAATCTTCTTGTTTCAATTCTTTTTTTCGATCATATTCTATACCTCCATGGAAGACCTTGCCAACTGAAGCAGTAAAGTATCCATTCTCTTTGAAGTGTTGAGGTAAGGTGGTGTAGTTTCCTGCTGCTTCTCTCCAGTAAGAGTAGAAGTCATAGAGCTTGGTGGTGTCTGGTCTCCTGCTGGTCATGAAGGAGATACGGCTCGGTCCACAGACTGCTTGCTACAAAACAACGACCAGAATAGCTTAAAGGCATCGTTTATTAAACAATGTTAAATCTGAGAAGCTGGGCCCTACGTGTTATCAGTGTCTGTGATATGGTGTAATATTGAAGCCCTAAAAAAATTACGCTTCAAAATGATCATGAAGTGCCTCAAAAAAGTAAAAATCTTTGAGGGACCGGTTTTTACCATAACGGTACTCATTTTCCCCAATATACTGTAGTGTTATCAAAACCGTTAGGAAAATGCAAAATGAAATTTCAATCAAAGATATCTTGATAATCAGACAGGCGATCGGCTTGTAAAGGTCATGGGATTCCTGAATGATTTAAAGGGATCCGGTAACTTTGTCTCAGATTCTGAAATAAAATTCTGGATTTAGCTCATGATGCAATGATAATTATAAACCTTTAGGTCAGTCAGGAACCCCATGACTTTTACAAGCCGATCGCCTGTCCGATTATCAAGATATTTATGATTGGAATTACAAATTTTGAAAACCGTTCGCCTGACGGTCTTCATAACACTACAGTCTATTGGGGAAAACGAGTATGGTATAACCGGTCACTCAAAGATTTTTACTTTTTTGAGGCACTTCTTGATCATTTTGAAGCGCGATTTTGTTAGGGCTTCAACGTTACACCATATCACAGACACTAATAACATGTAGGACCGTGTATCTCAGATTTAACATTGTTAAACGATCCCTTTAAAGGTTTATAATTATGATTGCAGCATGAGCTAAAAAATCAAGGATTTTGTTTAAGGATCTGAGACAAAGTTACTGGATCCCTTTAATAGAAGGTTAAGGAAGTGTGGCGTCGTACTGGCCAATATGCCAATTAAGGTTGCTGGTTCCAAACAATTTTGTGCTAAACAATGTGGAGGTGATCACAAGAGCCCCAAAACAACAAATTTGCCCTGTTTCAGCTTGTTACTTAAATGATTTCACAGTTAACCTTATGTGCAGGCTCTGTTGTTCAGAACCAGTAACCTGAACGACGAGTGAAAATGATGTTAACACTTCAGTACTCTATTAGTTCCTTTAGTGATTTGAGGGGGCATAACTAGCCCTTGCCCCCCCCCCCCACACCCTCTCCTATATAGCTTGGTAGTAAATATCATCTGCATTTCATGCCACCATAAAGTCCGTCCTTTTCACATTTTGACATTTGAACCAAATAGACTACTGAAAATATGATAACCTTTCTTGTGTTAATAAACAAAGAACCGTGAAATTACCACATTGTCTCAAGGATCATATGTAGATATCTCTACAGGCAAGGACTGTCTTTGTTTTAACAGTGAGGGTGTGTTATTTTCTCAGCCGATTGGGCGTGCCACACGGAAACAGTCCAGGCAGTGGACTAATATTTAGGCTGCTCATGACAAATCTGTGTTAAAGGTACACTTTTTACCGACTGTGATTGGAATCAATTCTCACCTGAACCATTGCATGTTGGAACACTGCAGATTGCGCCGCAAGGTTATCAATATTAGGAGAAAGAATGGGACCCCCATAGCTGTTGAGAGAAGGTCGAAGGTCATCCACCACAATGAACAGAACATTGGGTCTGCCTGTAAAGAGAAGTTAATAATATGGAAAATCATATTGAAAATGCAGATCTATAGATAACCCCCTCCCACCACTGCCTGGTCAGAAATTCGTTATGTGCCGACTGTGTTACTGACTTTTTTCTAACAATGGAATTTTGTACTTTCTAGATTCTACAGGTGTATCATTAGTATTGGGGAAAAGTAGGGAGTATAGTCCCACCTCCCTGGGAAAAGGTAGTTTAAATGGCAGGTGACTGTGCTTTGTGAATGTTCACCCTTTTACATTCTCCTTGGCAGACATACCGTATGCATGTATTTCATATATTATTACATGCACACACATATCTATGGAATCAGTGTAAAAAATACATGGGGGCTCAGGGCGAAATAGCCCCCGAAAATCAGAAAAGAGCCCCTTTAAATTAATTTGCATAGAGTTCAATGCAAAACAAATTTTAGAATGTTATTTTATGCAGGCAAGATTGAAAAGTAGCCCCCCAAATTTTTTTCTTTTTTTTTCCTATATGGAATCCATATCTAGAGAGAGAGAGAGAGAGAGAGAGAGAGAGAGAGAGAGATATTTATAAATATATAGTCCTTTTATGAGAAATAAAAAATGCAATAGTTAAAAGGACACAAAATTGTCCTGCTAATGACCATGCATGTATGTATACTTAATGACTCTCTTTTTCACTCCAAATTTCTGTTCAATGACACCTTCAGTAAATCTATATACATATCATATACCAACTTGTTATATTATCAGGACATCTATATATACCCTCATGGTGTATTAACTGGACATCATAAAAACTGATATATTAATCCTAATCCTAACCCTAAATTAAGAACAATATAACTAATTAAACTAATGACTAATGATTAAACCTATTGTTTCTTGGAAGGCCTTTAAGTTTCCTCTGCCTGCAAACGTAAGTAGAGGGCAGTACTTCTTTTGTTCAATCGTTAACAGGATACGAACATGTCCTGCTAATGACCATGTCTACTTAATGACTAATTTGTTCACTACATATATGTCTGTCTATAATGAGGCTGTAATTATTCAATTCAATTCAAATTAGGTTTTATTCAATCTCGTCAAAAAATCCAAAGACTAAAAAATGCAAGTTTACATCAAACATACAATCATATAAAAAAGCATTCAAAAACATATACAGTGCATCCCAGAAAAAACAAGACCGAGAATTATCGATGTTGTATCATAACTTAATCACAATTATAATCGATAAATGACACATATTTGTAAAGCTTAGATCCTCCTCTTTCATCTGATACTACTCATATAATGCATATTTCAGGCATGAGTGATTTACATCAATTTGAAGAGAGGAAACCAAAAAGTCATTTGGCGGACGGAAAAGGGATAATTCTAAGTAAGAGAGAGATATCATGAGTATTTTATCTGTTTGTAGGCCTATGTTTTATGGGGATCAAGAGACAAAAGAGATAAAAGAGAGAGAGAGAGAGAGAGAGAGAGAGAGAGAGAGAGAGAGAGAGAGAGAGAGAGAGAGATCTGAGTGAGAGTGAGAGCGAGAGGGAGAAAGAGAAAAACTTTTAAAAAGGAAGGGTGCAAAGTAAGAGGGAAATGGGCGAAGGAGCTCTAAGCGAGAAGAATATTTAATCATTAGAAATGTGGGCCTTCTCGTATTTAAAGCTAAAGTAAGCCACTACTCAATCATTGGTCATCGCGTGTGTACCCACGCCCACACAGAGTAACACACATAATTTTTGTTTTGGTTCAAGTCTACAAATCTAGACTACAATTTTTTGAACGCTACATGATCATGCCAGTTTATAGTACATGCAAACATTCGCTGCACTGCCTAATAAATAATACTTATAATAGCGAACTTTGTAATGGTGCGATTTGTTCGCTTACCTGTTAAATTGTCTGAGTGAATGGGCAAAGATGCTGAGACCCACTGATAACATCCCGTGGGCATACAGAGAAAAATGACTAGCCATAGCTTTAGGGAGCTAGGGGCACCACTCTCAACATTCATTTTACTAGAAATGACAGTCTTCAAGTGTCCTCAAATAGGCAAAACGAAAAAGAAAATTCTAATAATGTTTGCAAGAGGGTAACTGTAGGAGGGCCAAAGTACATATAAACATATATGTATCTACATAATATTTAGTTTATTTACATATATATACGTGTGTATATATATATATATATATATATATATAATATAAATTTATATGTATATAATATGTAGATCTACATGTCAATATATATATATACACATATAAATATGTGCATGCTCGTTTTATATTCAACATATATATATATTATATTAACACTGACGTACTTGTGGAGGGGAGGGGGTGGGGGCTGCTGCCTGATGAAAAAAATTCTACGCCGCCATAATAAAAAAAATATATAAAAAAAATAAAAAAATAAAGAAATTTAGGAAAAGAAGGAAAGGAGAAAAAGGAGAAAATATACTGACATAAAGAAAGAAGATAAAGAATGAAAGAAAAAAAGGCAATTTAATCCCTTTGATCACACATTTTCAACATCTACCATTTGCTTTTCTAAGGATTCCATTCAATAAATCGATATGCCTATACCTACCACTACTCGGTTACTGCTACTTATTAGGGCTGCCCCCCTCTCCACTCAGTGTTATTTAGGGTGTATGCATGTTCCCTCCCTTTGAAAGCACCCCCTATCTCCGGTGTCTAAAGTCAATACGTGCTAGATTTTTTAAAGCACCCGGACGCGTCATTTTTTTTCTGCGGCCAGATTGGGGCTTTTTTTTTAAAAAGAGGTCTTGATTTAACCCTAACCCTAACCCTTACCCTAACCCTAAACTTTCCCATGGGCTCAACACGCACCTAATTACCCCAATCTGTGCCGCAGAAAAAAATAACGCCACCCGGACCGGACTTTGTACTATGTTTGAATACTCCTTTACCAGAGATTTGGGGAACATGAATGCGGTCGGCCGCTAAGGGCTGCCAATCCTCCGTCTCCACTTTCCTCTGTTCTCTGTTTGAGTCTCTGTCAGATTTAGTTCCCTCATTTCCCTTTTAAATGATTTGAACTTATTTTCTTCTGCAACATACATATCAATTAACATTTCAGCGATAGGCCCACATATACAAAATATATCAATTTTTGTTCACGTGTACACAATACAATATTAACAAAAATATTGACATTAAAGCAAAATGCAATTAATAACATAATATATTATTCATTAAGAAAATCTCCTATCACATTTGAAAGCCTGAGCGTGATACTGATAGCCCGAGGTGGAGGTGGTGGTGGTGGGGGGGGGGGGGGGGGTGGATGGTTAAAAGAATAAATGGTAATGGTACATGCTCCTGATGATGATGGTGATGATGTTGATGATAATGATGATGAAAATGACAAATATGTTGATTTAAATATGTTTGACACAGACAACTTATATAGGTATAATTAAGGGGGTAATATAAAATATTGTGATGTATAGCTAGTTTACCAGGGTCCAGTGATATGGAATTCAAATATTCAATTCCTATAACAGCTCTTCAGTATCTGTTTTAGAAGGAAATATAAAGTATTTTTATTATATTGATTCAATATTAGGCTCTTTTGTTAGTTTTTTTAATTAGGTTAGTTACTTCATTTCTAATCTTATTTTGTGTTCCTTTTTTATTATGTTACTGATACATATTGTATATCTTGCCTGTTTCCTTTTTGGCCACTGCCTTCCTCACTTTTTACAATTCATCTTATGTATTGTCATACATTTTGTCTGTTTGTATATGTATTTTTATCTGTTGATCTCTTGAGGAGAAATAAATGAAATGAAATGCCATGAAATGATGGATGATCATGTTTATAGAAATCGTAGGTGGGCAAGTGAAGGTTTTATTATGCACATATTATCATGCAACAATTTTTTTTTTTTTTTTTGAAGACACCGTTGATTTCCTGATAGATAGATAGATAGATAGAGGCGCTAGGTGCAGTTTCATGCGACTTCTATTTTGAAGAAATTGGCCACGTTTTAGGTTTTGTTTTATTGAATTCAGGGATTTACTGAACTTTGATTCAGAATTTTGGAGACCCTGTCACCAGCTTGCACGGAAAGTTTACAAGGAAATAATGTGAGAAAGTTTTAAACGGTAGACTAGACCTAGATTTAATTTGATATTTCGTAGACCTACTAAACTAAGTTTAGTCCACACATCTGACATAGATCTAGCCTAGGTGCATTACTATCCTGGCTGTGTATTAAAAGATGTGCTATCGATTCTCAACATTTGAAACACCACTGTACAAAACTCAACTGATTTTGCCCAAAATCGGTACTTTAGTGACGATTGATGACAGCTAAATAGCAGTAAAATACAACTTTTCAACTTTCCGATGTTAGAAAGATTAATTTAAAGATTAAAATTGTGAGTCCACTGTCAAACTTGCCGATCAGCCGCATCGGCATAATTGTGTGCATCTGTGTGTTGTGAGTGTATTGACTATTCATGTATTCAATTGCTGCCTATTAACACGTAGTGCAGTGCTAAAGGTCAATACCCATAAGCATTGACTCTCTAGATCGATGCCTTGCTGGAGTGGTTTAGTCTAGTCTAGTTCTTAAAAGACCTAGAAATCTAGCCTAGCTATGCATGCCCACACATAGCTGCATTACTATCCTGGCTGTGTATTAAAAACTGTTTAATTGATTTTCAACATTTCAAACACCATTATTACAAAACTCAACTGAGCTGATTTCACTCAAAATCGGGGCGCTAGTCGGAAGTCTATATATCCAAACTTTGACCCGTATCTCCGGCGTGGAGATATCCTACTAATACATAGGCCTACCAAAAATTAAGTAGACTTTCTAAATATTCATCAAATGTCCAAATAAAGGTCATTATTTAAAATGTGACATGTTTGTTACCTGTTTCGTGTCAATTTTCTTATCTTTTTTGGAGTATTTTTCCTAGAAACAAAGACTTATAATATGCACTTTCTCATGGCAAACTGCAGCACAACATACCGTTCCAACTCCCAACGGTAGGATGCGTGCGTGTGTTAAGTTAGCTACTGTAATTTTAGTTTACGGCCGCTAACTAAACACACGCGCACCCCACCGTCGGTATGGTATACAATTGTACGAGGATATCCTTGTTTATGTGGACGGTCAACATTCTCGGACCAGCGCCCCTATACTGACCACATTTATATCTACATGTTTCTGTTTTCTTTGTATATTTGTTTATTGCCACGATTATGACTTGACACATATTTGTCATGATTTATATGTTTAAAAAATGGACATGTGGAAGCAAAATCCAGTTTAATCAAAATTCCATTGGATTCTTTGATTGATCACAGCTTGAGATCGAGTGAGAATGCCGAAGAAGAAGACTGGTGCTCGCAAAAAGGCCGAGAGGCAGAAGCTTCGACAGAAAGGAATCCGATCAGGAACAGAAGCCAGGAGCGTGGTGGAATGGCCTTGTAACTTTACCATGGTAAAATGATAACGGTGTAAAACTGAGAAATGTATGATATTGGGAGGGGGCCTCAGTTTTTGAACTGTTTCATTGTGTCACCCTAATTGAGGAATATTTGTCCATTGATCTGAGGTTGGAATTTCTGATTTCCAATACCGTGGCATTGATGCTTTCAATGATTTCTACTGAGTGTGAGAAAGAAGAAGGGGAATTAAAATATATAATAATTAATCTTCTTTAATTAATTATATTGCAGGCTTAGTTAAGTATTAAAGGTAATCACATCAAGGAGAATTGTCTTTTTATATCATGATTACCACAGTAACCACACTTTATTTATGTATTCAGCTGGTTCTACAACACATGGACAACTGCCCATGTACTAACTTCTAGGAATTCCTAAATTCCTACCAAGAACCTAACAGAATCACTATTCTAAATCCTACAGACTGGTTTGTCATTGTATTCATAATCACACCAACATTCCTGCTTCAGAAATCATGCTGTATCTTTTAGGAAATAATGCCTAGAGCCTTTTTTTCCCCTGAGGAAAAGTTGGGTCACTATTCAACCTCAAACAAGATTTTAACCTTGTGGATCTTGATCCAGTTTTTCTTCATTTACACTGGGTTTCATGAAAACAATAAACTGCAATATGGAACCATCGTTAACTCTTTATACAGAGCCTTGCTTCTGTGATTATCCAACTTCTGAATCAGTTATTAACAGTTATTATTATGTATTATCTTTGGAATAACTATAAATGAACAAATTAATGGACTAGCCCACCTAGCTTTTATCTATCTTACATATGAGGCTAGTTGGCTCAGTCAATAAAACTTCTGTTTGGGGAACCGAAGATCTCGAGTTCAAATCAAACCAGTGTGAATGACTGAAGCCTGAGTTGTGTGTTAACATGGCCCTCCGCTGTTTCATAGAGGCAGGCTAATACATAGGACTTTAAATTGAGGCCCAGTGTAAAGGATAGTCTCCACTGCTCCATTCATAATAGAGAGGGGGGAAACCCAAGTGCAGTTGTGTACTTGCACATCCCAATTTGTTACACCAGGAGGATAAACCCAAGGGTTACAGTTGGCTTGCTTCTCCCCTCTCAGGCACAGGAGACGCTAAATATTCAGTAATTATTGATAATAATAAGTTTTATTTATTTTCCATTTATTTCAATTCAGGAATGTGACACCTGTCACAGGTGAGTACTATTTGATTTTTGTTGATAGATTACTTATTCCAGGCAGATTAGGGTAATCCCCACCATTTACATACATGTTTGGCCAAAATGAAACTCTGTAAATTGAAAATTCCTAAAACAGTAAATTGTTTGAATTATTGTATGCTGATGATATATAGTATTCGTGATGATCATAAAATCAAGCCTTAACCCCCTGTAGAAATTTCGCGACTACTCCGAAACCGCGGCAGATATAAAATTTTCCTTTCATGACTTTTTACTTTCGAGTCTTACGCATCTTTAAAAATGATTTTTTTTCGAAAATCGACCTACGGTTACAAGGTCACGTGACCTTTTGTCTTTGCATGTCAGCCCGAAAATCGCTCATTTTCGTGATTTGTGTACAAAACATGTAAAAGTCATTTTTCCTAAAAATCGATATAACATTGGTTATTCAGTCTTGTTTAAAGTTTAGATGTTTGTTTTGGGTTCAAAATAGTTGAATTGTAGCTATAAATGAAATAAAACAACAAAAACAATAAAATACATAAGTTAAAAAAACAATGAAATACATAAGAAATTATAAAAAAAAGAGATAACATATGGAATAACCTGGCCCTTTCAATTTTTTCTGTACTATTATTTCAAATGTTCTAATATATATATGTAGTGAAAAAGAATATGTAAACATGAATAATCTATGATTTATGGGCAGAAATGTGAATTTGATGACCTTATTTGCATAAATTACCATAAATATGCAAATGAGTGAATTTTTCAAAACTTTGAAATTACCATAGTATTCTATACACTTCACTTGACATGCATGCAAATTTTCGCGGCGATCGGCGGTGAAACGGCCGAGATCTTTGGGGGGGGGGGGGGTCAAATTGACCCCCCCCCCCCAGTAAAAACCTGGTCTGAAATAGCCCAGTTAAAATAGGGTTAGCTCTTGAACTGCTTTAGTCAACCAATCAATGGACTGCCACAGTCGTCTTTTGTCACACACAGAATGTATTTGTGACATATGTACACACATGTATGATGTATACACTCCAAACAATGCAGTTGAGGGCTTCTTTATGCAGTGAATTAAGAGTTACATGAATCGTTTTTAGAAGTAAAAAATGACTTTTTGTTCAAATGTAAAGGTGCCTTTCCAAGCAACAGCCATTTTGTGTATCTCAACAGAGGAATGTACAGTCCCTGTAAGGAGGTTCCAAAATGGGCGAATCAAAGTTGTCTGTTGCTTAATTGATGTTAAACTTCATTTTCTAATAAAAAGATACCAGAGGTTTTTTTTACTACCTACAGGTACATGATATGGGCGTCTTTGAAGACATTTTATTAAAGCTCTGCAAAATTTCTTAAAACATTAAGTAAACTTAATTAAGTAAGAGAAATTAATTTCAGGCCTGATAAAAACCCGATTTAAATCGGTTTCCCGATTTTTTTTATTTTTCCCGATTTTTTCTTTACATAGAAAGCAAAAGAATAGAGCCTTCTGTTACTTCTGCAAGCATGTTCAAAAGCTTCCTGTTTGTGCACAATGTGGTGAGTAGCATTGGGTCCTAGTTGTGTCTTTGGTATCAACACTGCACATTTCTAAAAACTCATTTTGAGATGGGTCCATACATACAGGAGAGTTCAGGAAAGTGCATTGTGGGCTGAGATTTGACTTTCAAGTATAAACAGGCCGTAAACAATGACAAACATGCACATTTGGGTGCTAAAGTATTTTGGTCAAGCTCGGCGTTTCTCATAACTGGCCTTTTACTGTAAAGATGTGCAATGCAATAAGACCGAATCCATTTTTCAGTCATAATATTACGATTGAAATAATCACCCATTCAAACTATGATAATTTACTTCAAGAGGAAGAATGGTTATAGATCAACGACAAACTATTTAAACATACATGAAGGCATTATTAGTTGTCGAATCTACTTTAATAAGTGCTACCAAGACAGTAAGTAATAGTCTGATTTTCAGACCATTGTACCGAATGGTCGTACGTTTTGTGCTGTGCAAAGATTCAATCAGTTTAATTTTGGCCATTACAAGAAGTGGGTTATTAATGTAGACAAATGCTCATGTTCCCTTTACAGCTCATTTTATGTATGTTATTACCAAAGAAAGAAAAAAGTCAGTCGGTCACTCGATAGTGTCTTACAGTGAAGTCTAGCAAATAATGGTTTCCTTGCATAATTTGAATATTAGGACACTGCTAACGTTTAAATTTCACAGATAGGACATACATGACATATTCATAATTCCTGCAAAGTTCTACTGAATTTGATGTTGGCTGCAAATGGGACAAAGTATCTTTAAAGATAAGCTTGAGTTCTGGTAATGATAGAAAATAAATTCTCACAGAATCAAATAAAACTTACACTGAATGTTCAAGATTACAAATAAATGACATGTGCCAAACGATTTTGGTAGAAAATGTATAGGGGCTGAGTAATGAGTATAGAAAGATAAGGAAATCCAGATAAGTAGGCCTGACACCATGTACTTAACACAGGTCACTATGTGCAAATGAGAGTTGTGTGTTTTTTTTCCAGCAAGTTTTATTTATTTCGGATATGCTGGATAAAAATTTGAATTTTACTCACAGGATTTCCTTAATTGCTTTGCATTTTAAAAGTTTATCATATTTATCTACAGGTGTACTTGTTTGTTGTTATGTATAACCATCCACATATTCAGAATCATAGGTCATCTCCACCAGAATCATTTTGTTGCTGTTGTTGTGTTTTGTACTTTTGTTTTATGTGATTTGTTCTTGACATTTGTTAAACTTGAATTTAAATCATTTTGTTTTTGGCAGGGAAGATGAAGTGCATGATGAAGACAGGTGACTGCATCATTAAGCACGCAGGTCGATTTACAACAGGCTTAGCTATGGTGGTAAGTGGCATGCCCTAATTTCTATTACCATATTTCACAGTGGGAATTTGGGAAGTATGAATATAGCTATAAAAGTTAGAAAGTGGCTATGTTTGGGAATTTCTAATTTATTGAAGCCTTTACATTGGTATTGATAATAAATACGATATTCTGTTATGTACATTTATAGCAAATGTCACTTTGTGATGTAAAGTCTCTGTGCCTGTTTAGAGCTTTTGAAATTGTGATTTCACAACTCAGAATATCAGCGTGTTTCTATTAGTTATACTAAATTTATCCGGTTGAAGAAATAAGCGTATAATGCCAGGTAAGGGCACTTTCTATCTACGCGCATTCCGATCTAGCCAGAAAAAAGGCTGTGAAAAAGTTCATCGAACTCTGGCTAATTAGGTCATCTCAAAGTATTGTGGGACTGCTAGGTCAACCCGGGGTTGTAGTGTCGCGGGCGTCGGGGTAAAATATTCTGATCACACGATCACTCCTATTTCCGGTTTCTCCCCGGTATGTGCACTCAATCGGAACGGGGTGTCTTTCTACCTACGTTATCCAGTTAGCTTCCCCTGCGTTATCCTTCTAAAAGAAGGATAATTTTGCCGGTGAACACGGAAAAGCTCTCCCGGCATTTTCAGGATAATGCCAGAGAAAGTGTGTTTCTTTTAGGAAAAATCTATCCCTTATCGGCCATTAACCGGATAATGGCTTTAGATAGAAACACGCTGTATGTTTAATATAATTCAATTCAGAACTTTATTTCAGACCCAGTTGCACAGGGCAGAGGTCCATAAAACATATGTTACATACACTGTAGATATATAGGGAAAAGAGCGGAATATAAACATGAGTATAATAACAACAAATCTTACAAAGAGTATAACAAACTGCACTATACTACGAACTGTAACATATAACATTTTTCTGTAAGATTGATAAAAGTACATGTATTACAATCTATTGAAGTTGTAACTTGTAATCTCGGCTCAACTAAACAGAACAATACACTAATAATAGATATTACTCCGTAAACAGTATTAAGAAAAGAGTAGTCATTAATCATACTCGAGATTTACTGCCATTCTTCTGATGCAATCCACATATCAGGACATGTAAATTAGCCTGTTATTCACAGTGGCGAAAAGTGCCTGACATACATGTATTCCAAGGTAGGTAGAATGAAAGTCGCATGATTCCTCATTCAATTTCATTTCTCTTCCTTTCACCCACATCCCCCCCCCCCTCCCCACCAGGGTGCAGTATGTGATCACTGCGAAGCGTTTATATGTCACGGAAGGAAATGTTTGGCCGTTCATGGTTGCGAGTGTCCGCTCATCGACTCTGTTTGCCTGGAATGTGACCGAGGGGTCTGGGAACATGGTGAGCGTACTATGTAGATTACATTGTATGACAACCTCAAAGAGGACCAGTCAACACAAATATTTTGCTTTGAATTTGAGGAGATCCATGTTGTTATGCAGTATGTAAATCTAGCATCTGCTTGAAATGTTATAGTAATCAAGTGCAAACCTTTTAAAAGTTATATTATAAAAGTGGCTTGTACACTAGTCGACGCACCTGTATGCACTTGCATAGAAATGAGCGAGCATGGAACCAAAGTTGGACTTGGGTCCAAGGCATAAGAAAAGAAACCAGGGTACCAACGGCTTTAAGTCCTCTCCAAGGGACTTGGAAATGAGGATTAATGCCTTAAATAAAAAGAAACCAGGGTACCAACGGCTCTAAGTCCTCTCCAAGGGACTTGGAAATGAGGATTAATGCCTTAAATACCAAAGAGGACAAGCACATATAATTTGAATCTGGTTAGAAGACCAACTGCTCTACCACTGAGCCATCGTGCCTCCTGTTCCTCAAGATAAGACAAGTGCGATACTTAATTTGAGTTTTTATGTAAAGTGAGTGTATGCCTCTAGTTATCAATATATATGACTTCATTGGATTTTGTAGGAATGAAAATCATTAAGATGACATATGATTTTGTTCAGATTCATGTTACACTTACAAATGGTAAGAATACAAAGGAAGATTCATAAGAATACAAGGATTCAAGGAATAAATCATAAGAATACAAGGAATGATTCATAAGAATTAAACAAAATAAAGTCACTTTTTGCCGAGATCATGTGTAAAAATAAATCATCATTCTGCTGGCAGAATGGCAAATATATTGGACAGCATTTGTATATTTCTTTAAGTGATTTAACCTATCCTTGACTGCATCTACACATCTCAATGCAGAGAGTACATTGCTAACAGTGAAAGGTTGTGGTTTCTCTGAATTATATTCTTTCATTTCATTGACTAAAGTTTGCGTTCATTTTTTTCCAGACACAAGGCAGTATTTAGTTTGAAATAATAATAACCATTGTATAATTTTTAACCAGGTGGACGCATTTTCCAGTGTGCTTTCTGTAGGGGATTTCTCTGTGAAGACGACCAATTTGAGCACCAAGCCAGCTGTCAAAAGCTCGAGTCAGAAAGCTACAAATGTGAGTCTGCACTCTGTAGGCACCAGTCAAGCAATTCAAACAGCTCTTTTTTCTTTTCTTTTTTATTTATGTATATTTTTTATCAAGTTTTTATTGTTCCACATTTTACAAAAAATATAGACATACAATTAAAATCAGAAACTATACAATACATGTAGTATAAAAGAGCACGTCTCAATGATTCTCAATTCTTATAGTAGATTAAGTAGAATGTTAGGAACCTATTAAAAAGCAGTGCTGGTATACTATAGGTTCCTGGAAAAATAAGTATTTTAGAAAAGAAATAATAATGAGTGTGCAAGGATGAAGGGATTAGATTTTGGGTGTCAAAGGTCACACGGTCACAAAAGTAAACTAACACGCGTTGAAGCAGTTCAAACTTCATGGATGAAGTATGTTTGCGTATGCAAGGATTAACTGAGTTGATTTTGGACCAGTTTTAATCTTGTCGACAGTGTGTAGTTGCTTGGATATAGTTCATTTTCGTTTCCCCCATACCTTAAAAAACTGCTAGTCCTATCATTTTTTTTTGCATTTAATGTTCAATTGTGATTGTTTGTTTTTGTTTTTGTTAACAGGTGGCTCGTGTAATAGGCTAGGACAATATTCTTGCTTGAAATGCAAGGTAAGAAAAACAACGGTATTACCGACAAAAATATGTATTAAAGGGGCTGTAGCATGACAAGACTGCATCTTTCCCGAGGCCCACTCAGGGAAAATCGGGTATAATACGACTATGGATGACGCCTACGTATTCAGGTGCGTGCAACATACGCAAAACCGAAGCGTGAGGAGAACTTCAGTCCGTTTCGCGAACGCTTGAGCGAGCTGACCTAATAAATCAAGTCCATTCATCTATGTGCAAAAAGAAGACATAGATGGCGCAAACCAATATTTACCATGCTACAGCCCCTTCAAATCTGTAACTTTTGTTGTAGTATCGGGGTGTTATGCACATTGTTCTTATGAGCCAAAGGTGCGTTGTTGTGTAACATTAATTTTTTTGTTTTGTTTTGTTCCTCATTTGTTGTTCTTTTCTTAGACAAAAGACCGGTTTACTAACATTTAAATTTATGGATGTTTCATTCCTGGGGACCTAGTGACGAGTTATTTCATTAACCTGTTATTAATGAATTAACTACAATACTTGGAATCTAGTATGCATATATTATTTGTCGCTTTGTTGGGCAAGCTTTCAGATTGTCAAGAACAACATTTGATTAAAAAAGTATGCATACAAATATTATGTAAGTAAACCAGTCTATCAAAATGAGAGTATGTTCCTATTGACAATATTTGAGTGGTTCACTATTATACCATGAAATAATCAATTTACAAAAGAGCCATGTTTATGGAAAGAACAAAAATACTTTCTTTGAATTGTAAGCCACCACACGCTATACAAACAATGTGCCAGTGATCTGATTTTTTGAGACATTGCAAGAGCATTTGCAGATTTGGTATATGAAGATTCAAGATTCAAGATTTTATTGTCCATAATATACAGAAATTTGTTTTCCATTGGTATAACATGTAATACATAAAACATAAGACAAAAACATGGTGTCGTGTGCCGAAAGCCAGAAGGGCGTCAAGACTCTATAAGAAAAAGTCTATGAGCAGGTACGGTCCTCCGGCTTTCAGCACAAAACATGACAAGACAGTTATATGACTTATACATATTGATATTAATGTTGTTTTGACTTTGTTTGTGATAGATCTGCTTCTGTGATGACCATGTTAAAAGAAAAGGTATCAAGTATATCAGGAATCAGGCCTTTCCTTGCCCAAAGTGTGGTTATGAGACCAAGGAAACCAAGGACCTCGCCATGTCTAGTAAGTTCCATCTTGAAGTCTCACTTCTATCATAGTTGTGCCCATTCAGTCGTGGGGTGATAAACTGCTTTAAAAACATCACAGTGCTCAAAATTAAATTACTGCACTTGCATACCTGCCAACCCTCCCGGATTTTCAAAATTTCGATTTTTTTTTTTTTTTTTTTTTTTTTTTTTTTTTTTTTTTTTTTTTTTTTTTTTTTTTTTTTTTGTTGCTGAAGCCAAATTAAGCTTGTTTTATCATATGCCACGATGTCAAAATTCACGCATTGCGTGCGTTGAAGGGCTGCATTATCGAACAGCGAATTTGTATTCACTTTTTTGCACAGATTTACCGCGTTTTGCCAGTTACACTGCCGCTGCATGTGCGAACGTCTGTTAAGGGTACAGATTTCTAATTTTCGAAGGCATACCGTGCTAAAAATTCTCATTTTCAAATGTTGGCAGGTATGCACTTGGTATCTCCATCTCTTATAACTTTCAGATTGTAGTGATTATACATGGAGGTCAAAAGTTGCAAGCAGCTAAAAAATGTTAAACCCACATATTTTGATTTGCACCGAAGGTAGTGCCTGAAGCATTTTAAAAGGTTTTTGAGTCGTCTGTTCGTCTGTCACGCTTTTTGTCATCGCAATAACTTGATGAATTGAGTATATTTTGGGTGTAAAATCTCAAAGGTCAGAGGTCACATGATCATAAAAATGTTCTACAATACCATTAAAATGTGTTGTTACTACGTTACTGAAAAGCATTGAAGGAATCCAAACCAAATTTGAATTGAAGTTTTTATGAGCATGCAGGGGTGAACTAATTTGATTTAAGTTGTAAGAGGTCAAAGGTCACAGGTGATACAAAATCCCAAACGATATCTTATTACTCTGATAATTAAACAAAAAATGAACCAATGTCGACCAGACTGGGCTCAAGTATTTAAATACACAACAGGAACTAAAGGATAAGCATTTTGGTCCATGAGGTCAGATGTTAAAGGTAATGCAAAGTTTTGGGAAATTTTGAAAATTGGATGGATAGTAGTTCTTTAAATTTGTGATATATTTGGATGCCCCTGTGGATGTTTTATAAGCACTAGAAAATTTAGCCCCTAAAACACTTCTGCTTTTGAGGAATTAAATAATCAAATATTTACTGGTGCTCCCTGTAAGTTTCAAATATTTCAAATAGCGCCTAAGACTATTCCATGGTAGCTGCGACCATGAAAATCTCAGAATATGCAGTTCTGATATATAATTTCCAAACGGGAATAGCAATTCAGTCGATTGTAGTGAAAAAAGATTGTTTTCAAGCTAAAATAATATCAGTTTTGAGAGCAAACTATAGACCTGACAACCAGTACGATTTAGTCATATTTCGTACGATTTTTAGGAGCAAATACGACAGTATGATTTTCCTCAATAAAATTTTAAAAAATACAAAAAACAATTTATTATTTTTGTATTTTGAATGTGTGTGTGCCATTTTCAATGGCAAAATGCCCATTCTGTCATGTAAAGCATCTCACATCTGCAGTTTGGGGATGTTCATTGGTTCATTGAACACAACAGTCGTGACGAAATCATGCATATTCAACCAATGATCCATACAAAAATTTCTTCCTGTGTGTAGGAATTGTAAGAGGCATTCATCCGCGTAACGGTCCGTGTTTATTTTTAAGAATACAACTTTTGTCAGTAAAATACCACTTTTGGGATTAAAGAATACAGTTTTTGAACTCCAGAGGTTGGCAGGTCTGGAACTATACAACATAAAGAGTTTATCATGTACAATTTCATCACTTTAGACTCGATTCCAACTGCGACAACGATCATTGAATATTGTAAAATTTCATATGCTTCCAATGTGTTCATTTGAACCGAATTCATGACCTCACACCAAAACTTTGTATTACCTTTAAAGGTCACATGACTTAAGGGATGAATTTACACATTCGCAAAAGTATTATAGAAACGCATTCTTATTCATATTGTTGACTATGTATTTTATTTTGCAGTCCGTAAGGTTGACTTTGGAAGGCAGCGCAATCCAAATTCAGATGATGATGATGATGATGATGATGACAGAGGAGGGGGCGGAGGGAGCGGAGCTTCGGGGTATGAGGCATTCTGGGCAAAGCTTGAATCAGGAGGTGGAGGTGGAGGTGGAGGAGGTAAAGAATTCTTCAGTTGTAACCAATTTTGATCAAAGGATGTAAAAATAATAACAATATTTAATTTTTATAAAGCGCTTAATACAAATGTCTCTAAGCGCTTTACAAATATACTATTACCCCGGTCATTAGATTCAGTGCTTGCCCGCACACAATGTGTGCACAATCTCCACTCCCTGGGGAGCATTCCAGCCAGGCGTTACATGACGCTCAAAAACTGTAATGGTGTCTTGGCTGGGTTCTTTTCAACCATGTGACAATTGTTACATCCTGCTACAACTCTCTCTATCTAACCCTGGCCACCGGAGATAGCTTCTTGCAAGACTCTTTGTCAAACTCATCCCTAGGTGTTGACCTAACTCTTCTAGTAACTGTACTCTGAACTTCTCAGGGACTACAACCCTAGCACCCTACATAACACAACTCTATCTACTGATAGCTCATTTCTTCGTGCATAGTATGGCTTGACCACCGACTCTGACTCTGTTAAGTATTTTGGCCAGCCATTTGCTATGAAATCATGAACTTTAGACAACACTCTGTCAGTACCTGTTGCCTACCTAATGTCACTGCAGGAGATTTCTGGGTGAAAAAATTCTTCAGTTGTAACCTATTTTGATAACAACTTGAAATCCTTCATTACTGTTTTTATGTTCCAATTACCACTAGGCAGAGGTGTCGTAGTCTAGTGGTTTAAACACTTTACTCACAATGAGGTTGTGGGTTCAATTCCCCGCACAGTACTTATGTCTGTAAGCAAGGCATTTTATCTACATTGCTTTTTCTCTGCAGAGATTTTAGATGGGAATCTGGTAGGATGCGATAGCCATTGTAGTTTGCATTGCGATCGTCTGTAAAAAGGGGTGAAAAGTCCATGGTCATAATGGTCAGTTGCCTTGAAATCCTGGGGTTTTAGCCCTGTTATCACAATGTACATGTACATTTATCAAGTACGTTTTGATCCATGAGCTGTGATGATGCACACTAATACCAATAGCTGCATCACCAAAGTGAGACAAATTGATAAGATTTTGGGTAAAAGAAGGTAAAATGTCAAAGGTCAGCAATTCAATTAACATGAAAGTTTTTATTGTGACAAAATCAATCACTACTTTAAAGTACTATGTCCCATTTACAGGCAAACAAAATAAAAAGGTTAAATTCCAACGTCATTTGAAAGATAATACTAATTTAAAACTTCTCCCCAAAAAGGGGGGGGGGGGCTTAAAAAATGTCTTTAAGTGGGAAAATAATGAATATTAATTGTCGAATAGACTTAAGAGCTATAGAGCCATTAAGTAATAGCCTGATTTTCAGACCATTGTACCGAAAGGTTGTACGTTTTATGCTGCGCAAAGATTCAATCAGTTTGATTTTGGCCATTACAAGAAGTGGGTTATTGATGTATTCAAATTATGCAAGGAGCTATAGAGCCATTAAGTAATAGCCTGATTTTCAGACCATTGTACCGAAAGGTTGTACGTTTTATGCTGCGCAAAGATTCAATCAGTTTGATTTTGGCCATTACAAGAAGTGGGTTATTGATGTAGACAATTGCTCATGTACCCTTTACAGCTCATGTTGTTATTACCAAAGAAGAAAAAAAAATCAGTCAGTCACTCAATAGTGTCTGACAGTGAAGTCTAGCATGTAAACGTGGTTCCTTGCATAATTTGAATATTAGGACCCTGCTAACGTTTAATTTTCACAGATAGGACATACTGATAATTCCTGCAAAGTTCTACAGAATTTGATGTTGGCTGCAAAAGGGATATAGTATCTTTAAGCTATTTTAGCAGTAAATTTATGACATGTAACTAGTATGCATCACTGTAGGGAACCAAGTGATCAGATCTTAGGATTTACAGATCAAAGGTCAAAGGTCATAAAGATCAATTGGCTTGTAAGTATATGTTTGTTTCATTGTTATATTCTGAAAATAATTCAAGCCATGATCTTAACTGAATTTACATGTAGGCGGAGACATTTTGGAGACACTTTGGCATTTGTCATGTTTTGTTTTGATATTTATCTAATTTGTTTTACTTTTTTTTCTTCTCTGTTATATTGATATGCCTTTCTCTAATACTTGTCTTTCTCTCTTTATTTCTGTGTCTGTAGGTTATAGTTATCAACATGACAACTATGATGATGAGGATGATGATGACTATGATGACGATGATGAGGAGGATGAGGAGGAAGAGGAGGAAGAAGAGGATGATGATGATGAAGAAAAGACAGTAACAGATAGTATAGACAAGCTGAAAGTTAGTGATAACTCTTGATAATGACTATTTATTATCTTAGAAGACATTAATACATTTATGTAAGCAGGGAAAATATTACTTTCATTATAATAATTCCTTAATATAACTTCAAGGAAAATGAATGAGGAAAAGATATAGTAACTGTGGTTCCAGTTCTCTTCCATAAAAATAAGCTGCTGTTTAAGTAACTCCAAAAGTCAAAATTAATCTTTCAGCCATGGTCCGGACTTGTGTCCGCCAACTATTCCTATTTTAGAGGAATGATTACTATTTTTTGGTCTTGAAGCTACTGTTTTGAACCCTAGACTCCTCTTTTTTCTGAAATATGCTGTGTTAAAATTCTACAAAATCGTCTGTATTTCTAATTTTGCCTTGACAGATTCCCAATTTTTTCCTACCAGTCACAACTTTTAATGATATCAAATTACAGTGGAAGCCCAATATAAAGACCTTGGATATAACAAAATACCGCATTTAACAAGGTTGCTGGTCCATGCTCTATATATTCTTTTAAAAAAATAATTTTACTCTAATATAAGAGGATACCTGATATAATCTAACAAGATGATTTACATGGTACCTATATCCTTGTAATAAAAAATTTCAGCAGTTTCACTGTATGATTTTATTGTACTAATGGCAGGAACAAGAATAATCAGCTAAGTAAAGACTGTTCGAGCATTTTTTATAAATAAAGACAAATAGTTAGTGGTCAAGTGGGGTAAATCTCCTGTTAAAGAACTCTACATTCCATGAAGGTCTGCATCACTTTCTATGAAGTGGAAAATTACTTTTATTTTAGTTGTACATGCATTTTAGAATATTTTATCTGGTAAGTTGTATCAGTGTTTTGGTTTCTTGAGAACAGTTTTCCATAATTTGAAGTCATTTGATTTAGGGTGCGTTCAAGCAATTTTTTGAAGCTAGAAACATAAACATGAATCACAAATCAAAACGCTGTTACAAAACACAGTTACTGCGGGAGATCGTTCAAGCGATTTTCCATCAACGCTAATTCTTGCTCATTTCATGCCCAAGTCACTGCTCTTTACTCAGGAAGTATAGGTCAACTTTGGTGTGCGCTTTCTGAATGTGTTTATGGTCGACTGTCGACTGCTGTTTTGAGCGGAAGCAGGCCACGATAATGACGTCAGAGAATCATGATTGAGATCTCTGTTACGTTCAAGCGATTTTTAGTGAATCATGTTACAAAACGCATCTTTTTCAGCGTTTCATTTTTGTATTTTGAAACCGACAATGCAACCGTGTTTTATATTACCGGTAAACGTCTTTGAAACGCATATCTAGGGTGAAAAGGTGTCGCTTGAACGCACCCTTAGTGTACTATATATTTTATTCATTCTCAAATGTTTGAAGCATCGAGTGTACAACTCATAAGTCGTTAAGCCCTTATTCTCAAGAGCAGGCCAAGCGAAGACTGTCCTAAGCTAGTCCACTGATGTACATAATAGGGACCTTTAGATTTGTGTGGACTGATACGTGTGACATCCATTCTAGGCAGTGCATTAAAAGGACGTCGATCATAGCAATCCACGTTGTTGTTGTGCAAATCTAAAAGTCCCTAATGACAAATGTGAACCTCTCCATCCAGTGAGGATCACCACTATTCTGTAACATTGTGAGTCCATGCTATTGTGTCCTGTGAAACCTAGGTCTTTAATTAATTAATTTCATCCAATATTGACAAATCTCTTAATATGGCCATTGAGTCATTGGCTAATGGTTGTGATATAGGGAAGAACCTCCATCACAAAAGTTCATGTTTAACCGTTTACCAAAAGCACTTTTGTTGTTTACTATGAATGGCCATTGGCAAATATGTTTGGAAAAAGTAGCTGTATGTAACAAATGTCCTACATGTATGTGTACTCCCTAAATCTGTGTGTTGTAGCATACAGAAATGTATGTTAAGTGCAGTATGCTTTAAAGGGATAATCGAGTTCTGTTTTCAGACCGGAAGTGTCTTCAAAGTGGATGGTTATTGCTTTTAACCTTATCTATGACATTTATAGTGCTCTTTTAGGACCTAAAATTGCTAGCTAATTTTAGACCCCAAAATGTATGAAATTTAGCTAATACGATCATACCAATTCAGCTCCACTTTCCAAATAATATGGTGACCGTTAATTAATTAATAATAACAATACATGGGCCGGCTGGTTGTGTGTAATATAAAAGCCAACATTGGCATTGGCTGAAATACAACGTAAAAGGTGCTATTTCGTTTTTTCAACGGCTTTTTCAAATTATCGAATATTTGTGGTGGTACACAAGTATTAGAAATCATTATATTTATGGATATCTCAGCCGTCTCTGAACCAATTTTGATCAAACAAAGATGATTTTGTCAATTTACTTGTATGTTCTTTCATATTTGACACTCAGTTTTTCATTATCTCACCAAAAAAATTATTTTGTGTGGCGCCCTCTGCAACAGAACTCAACTATCCCTTTAAAAGAAGAAAAAAACTTTGGTAAATTGCCACAGTTTATTCAACATATGTGAACAAGCTTTTTGAAGTCATATTTGGTATGAAACAAATTTTAATGGAATTGCCCAAAGTATAAACTGATATGCAATAGGAATTTTGTACTGAAATAAGGATGATTTCATTTATTCATTAAGTGACAGAATTCAGGTGATGTTCAAGGAATGAAGAGTTTGACGCAGCTTTATTACTCAACTAAATTGTATGACATCTCCATTCACACTGTCTGTCACTGTATAGGTAATTGATGAAAGATGAAATAAACCGAGACAAATAAACACGCTGTTATAATTTTAAAAATTTGGCTCATATTGTTTTATTGCTTGTGATGACGGTCTCACATTTGTCACAAAAAATATACTATACACTGTAAATGCATAACTATATAGTTAACAACCAAAATTGTCAATTTACTGGGGTAATTTTTTTTTTGTAGGGGTGGGGGGGGGGGGGTGTATTTCTAGTAACTCAAAAATGAAAAGTGAACTGGTTGAATTGGGGCCTTTGTTGAATAATTTTAGATGTAAGCTTTAATATGTACCATTTTCAAAGAAAGTAAATTGTTCATAGCCTTAAAAATTACAAATCTTGGTAAATGTATGAATAATTTAGTTAACTGTTTATTTTTATTGTATTTCAAAACTAGACTTGCTTATCAACTATAATTTTGTAGATTTAAAGGTGAAATCATTGATTCACTATTATGTCCAAGGAACAAACTATGATACCATACCCAGTCTATACATTCTCTCAATACTTAAAGTTGCATTACATCCTTGAAAACACAACATCTGATCAAGATTAAGAAATTAGAAGCATATATACATGTATTTTCAAATGGTGTACGCCACATTTACTTTAAAGTGTCACATACTAAAAATTTAATACAATGATTGTAAAATTTACATTATTAACATTCTAATGACACTGGAACTTGTAGAAAGGATAATTGATACTGCTTAAAGAGACAAAATGACAAAATAATCTTTTGCTGCATATTTCTTGCATATTATTCCTTCCCACCTCTCTCTAAATAATTTGTCATATAAAATATGATCCATGGATTTTTTAGGATAAAAATATATATTTGGCAAAATTAAATAGAATAATTTTCAAATACAATATACAAAATAAAAGTTATTACATATGCCTAACATTCCTTAAGTGGTGGTTAAGGAGAAAGGAGAAATTCGATGAAGATACTGAATATTTGTTTGACTAGTCTGCACATCCATACGCTTCAAGTTTTATAGCAGGGAAGTCTGTGTAGGATTTGACGTAGATGTAAAGGAATCTGGCCATCAAGTAATTGCCCAGATCATGCTCCGTCACTCCACTGAAGCCCGACATTTCGAAAACCTGTGAGTAAAATAAATTAAGGAATGTCCTCAGCAAAAGATACAAGTACAATTTATGATTTACTACCGGTACTTCATTAGAGTGCAATTCGTTGTTGATTCTCTATTCTACCAATGCTACCACCATGGGTTGATCTTATGGGTTCTTGATGATGACAGTAGGACAAAAGATGGGTCTTCGACTGTGCCCAGTCAAAAATAATGCCTCTGCCATAGAGCGATTTTACAAACCAAGACAGAAGCAATAAAAAAAATTCAAGTTTGATTGCAATCCATTAACAGGTTCTGAGAATATCGTGATTACCAGTAAAAGTTAGTTTTCATATACATGTACATGTATGACCATTTGATCTTTGACCTCATGACCTCAAAATCTAATCGATCCGTTGGCTCTTCAAGACACATACATGACCCAAGTTTTGCGGTAATCCATCAATGGGTTCTTGAGATAATGCGATCACGAGCTTTTTTTGCATGTATAATAGGCCCTTTGACCTTTGACCCCAATATCTAATACCTAAGACAGCATACACAAAATCAAAGATTTCTCATTCCACTCGAAAGAGGACCCATTGTATATTTCTATTTGATAAAATTGATTGTTTCAGTCAATTGGATGGTCTATATCAATATACCGTAATTAACGTTGTATAAACCGCCCTCGTGTATTAACCGCACCCCTCTTTGTTTTGTCTTTTGCCGACTCTTTTGCCTAGGTCCGTGCTAAAAAACCCACGCGGGTTAAAAAACAGTAGAGGACCTAGGATAGAACCTTGTGGTACGCCATGTAATAGAAGAAAAATTGGAGGAATTATTATTATAAACTACGTATTGAGATCAAAACAGATTGCTTTCAAACCAAGATGACATACAAATTTGAGTGTTGTTCTAGTTTCTGAGTGGTGATTCAACACACGGATTACTGAGCTGGGAGACATTGCCAGGCATAGTGTCAGGTGGAGGGGAATAAATCGAAACTTTAAAACAAAAATATATATTATTTATATATATACACCGTTAATTACGGTAATAAGAAATTTAAATATTTTTTGACCAAGGAGGAAAGATGTTTTTCTTCGTTTTTATATAGTTTTTTTAAATTTCTGTTTGCATCTTCATATCGTTTGTTTTGTTTTGTTCTGTTTTCCCTGATCCTCTTAATGAATAATGAGATATCAAACTTACCGTTGCCTCTGTACTGCCAGGCTCTGTGAAAACCTCAAGATCGTGATCTGCCCTGAGACGGTAGCCAAGGGTGAAAGATGAAACTCCAGTCCAGGAGTTCAGTCTGCTCATGAAAAGTCCTTTGGTTTCAAGCTGTGGATGATAATAATATTCCGCTTATATAGCGCTTAAATAATACAATGTCTCTAAGCGCTTTACATATATACTATTACCCCGGTCATTGGATTCAGAGCTTTCTCGCACACACTGTGTGCACAATCTCCACTCCCTGGGGAGCATTCTAGCCAGGCCTGACTTGACGCTCAAAAACTGTTTGACCAGCAGCGACGGTCGTATCCTACCGGGTACCCATTTAACAGGCTGGGTGGAGAGTAACAAGTGCAGGTTAATATCTTGCCAAAGGATATTAGTGCCATTTCAGGATTCAAACCCTCGACCTTCGCATCTCCAGTCAAGAGCCTCAAACCACTCGGTCATGACACTTGCACTTACATGTAGATCATTAATTCAGATCTCTAAACTAGATCAGAGTTTCTTTGGAATGTCATTTTTCTCATGGCGTTCAAAGGTAATTGCCATTAACATATCAAGCAGTTTGCCTCTCTTGACCCAAGTGCAGAAACTAGGTACATAGTAGCAGGATAATCTCCAAATGCTTTGAGTAGAATAATGTTGGCTGTACAGCTGAAAAAGGCAATAGTTAAATTGGATGTTGAGATCTTACTTTGATGTGTTTCTACATGTATATACAATTAACAACTACATTGTTCATACCCTTACCACGTTTTGTAATTTTTTAAGTATGTGTAAAATTGAGTAGTCCAGATTTATGTGTCTTGAGAAAGGGACATATTCAATCTTACATCTAAACGTATTCAACAGAGGCCCTGATTACAACAGTCCACCTTTCATTCTTGAGTTACAAAAAACACAACAAATATCAAATTTACAAGGGGTATGAATAATTACGTTATTTAAGCTAAATAATAAGTTTTTTTCATTCTCACCATCCTGCCTCACCTCCTCCTCTCCCTCTACTTCTTCATAGTCTTCCTCTTTCTCTTCTTCTACCTCTTGCCCTCACACCCCATCATCATTATCATTGCCTTTCTATTCCAAATAATACAATATTTTATGTAGTACATGAATTATAATAATTATGATGATGATGATAATGAAACATGTAAAGGTATACATGTCTTGTTTACCTCAGAACATGTATTTAATTCTGTTTTCCCTGAGGGCCCTGCAATCACATTATCCCATTGAAATATATACCGGTAATGCTTCATTTGAATACCTTTGACACTGTCCTTGGTGTCCCAAGGTCGATGTCCACTTGGAAGTCAAGCTGCTCTCCTTCATTGGTAAAGTTTCCCAAGTCTATAGACGGAGTATCATCGAGGGCGTAGAACCACATCCCATAGTCGTCTGAATCATCATTGTTATGCATCAGTGTACCAGTCATCATGGTCGAATTGACTTCAAAGGGTAGCGCGCATCCTAGTCACAGAAAAAAGAAGAAGATGGTTATTTGGTCATAATCAATGTGAGGGGGGTAATCACAGATTTTTATGGACTTGAATTATAACCCCCACCAGACAGAGATTCCTGGATCGGCGACAACAGTTGTCTTTTAGATAGATTAGTTTGAGGGTTTCTGTTTTGTTACACAATTCAGAAGAAGTTCAGATTTCAGAATCTCAGAAGATCAAAATCTCACTACATCATAGCTGTCTTTGAATGGCATACCTGAGAAATACACTGCCTGCTTGCTGATTCCACCACATGGTTCGTTGTTATCACCACACGTCTGTGCGCACTGATCAAGTAACGTCTCCTGATTGGCCATGCTGTTCCCGCATGCGCACTCTCCGATATCTTTGCGCAGTCCTGTGAAGCGGTACCCGGCGTCCCGGCAGGAGGCAACACACGTTTCAAATTCCAAAGTGAGGGGAGTCGTTGTGACCTCACTAACATCGCTGTTGTAATAGCAACCAATGGCCTTGTCTTTCTCTGTAACGATTATTAGCAATGGTAAACGCATTAAGGAGTTATGCAAATGTCTTTTTAAGCCAGCTCTAGAGCTTCCAGCTTCTACATGTCATGAATGATGCCCATGCATTTTTTGTCAAAGCTTCACAGTCAGGGCCCCATTGCACAAAACTAACCATTGATTGTAACTTTGCCATCAATGGTAACTACCATGGCAACCTTGATTTTGATTGGCTGTTGAGCCCTGTTACCATGGTAGTTGCCATTGACACAAAGAAATAGGTCCACATCTAACACCGATAAGACTTTTTCTTTCACATACATTAAAATCATAAATTAGAAAATGCATAATATACTTTCCAAAGGATAAGTAAAATTAAACAAATGAATTCATCTTTAAAAAAAATAAGAATCCACATTATAAAAGATGTACATGTGCTTGTTTTAAAATTACTATAACCATCCATTGTTCAATTAAGAAAATCGGTAAATCTGGTTTTAAAAAATATACAATGAAAGATCTTTTACCTTTAGGACATTTGAGCCTGATTTTATAATCTTCACAAGCATTTTCTTGCGGAACCAACTTCCACGTCAAGACCACTATAGAATCGTTCCTCGTCTCTGTCCCTATCAAATCCACCGTCGCGTTACCGCACTGCACGGTGGTATTGAGGTACAGCGGCGCATTGGCGGTGGTACTCATAGCCATAGTGAAGGCGCCGGTAGTACCGGGCATTTCCGTGGTGGCGGCGCCAGTTAGTGCACCAGTGGTGCCTGGGAACGCTGTAGTGGTTGGTTCACCGGTGGGTCTATGTGTGTAGGGCTCGAGGTAGACCAGGCTCCCGTTGGCAGCGACACCGTAGAGTGAGCAGCCATATTGCTGTATCTGGTTGGTAACGTTAATGTCATAGACGTCATAGTTGGTGACGTTGACTGTAACGTTGAAGTAGATGGTCTGATCCTCCTGGTGGAGTTAAAGTAGATTCGAATACAATGATGTTAGCAAAGTGAAAGGGAACAAAGTGGCAAGCTCTATAATTGCACAATATATTTTTAGACTTTGTCAGGATCTTTTGTGGGTCCATTTCACGTCCTGTCTGCAAATTGGAATCTTTATTTATACTGTTCCTGTTTCATTCGTCAGTCCTCTTCCCCATTAAGAAGACAATATAAGCACTGGATACGATAACCAATCACAAGGGACAGTGTCTTAAAACTTGATATCTAACAATTTCTTGGCCGTATTTTCGATTTCTTTTGGATGTTTTGTAAAGCTGTTATACCATTTGTCCATCGATCCATCCCCTTTGTCCTTTGAATATCAATGAAGACCAAATTTGGCGTCAAGCTTGTCGATAAATTGTCAACAAAAAAATCGACACTAACCATCCTCTTCAAATACTGACGACCCTGCTCCTCTATTACCTTAGTTTTCTGTATAAAGCATGGATAGAAAAAAAATCAGTCCATTTTGTTCAGGGATATGCTCCGCTGAGACTACGTTTGGTCCCACCTGATTCAATGAGAGGAGAGCCTAAAAATTCAAAAGATATTATAAAACACATTCCCCTAGTCGGGACATTTTTGTCTGCCCCGAAGCATACCTTTGTGCAGTTGATCCCGCCTTGCAAGGTGCAGGCTACGGCTAGAACGTCGTCCGTTTCGTCGTAGCGAAGATCGTCTGTCGTCTTGCACTGGATGTCGACGGGGTTGTCGCACACCCAGGGTTTCGCTGCTCTGAAGTCATCTGGAGTCTCTGCATCGGCTCCGTCGCTGGCGGGAGAGTCGCCGTTGAACCAGTCGGTCCATGTTGTCGTGTCTATAATGTTCAAGGAATGCAAACAGGTTGTAAACACAACAGACTATTAGCAACGCTGTACTATTCCAAAGCCTTTTCTATAGGTATTTTTCTTTCATTGAAGTGTAGGCCGACTGTTATTTAGTGGTGCATATGCTAAAGATTGAAAGTATATCATCAGCTTCATTGTCACTAGAGCTCACTGACGGGCATGATTTAGTTTTACATGAAGATCATGAAGAAATACCACGCCTTTGGACATAGACTGTGCCATCCGTTATTTGTAACTTTGGGGATGAATTTGTTTTTAAATAAGGTAAGGTTTATACCACAAATTCCGCTTGGAATACAAAAAATAGATATCATCTTTAGATCAAATACTGTAGGTGCTTGTTTTTCTGTGTCATATTATAATGAAAGAGCTTCAAGGTACAGATAAGGCGATAACTATATAACATTTTGTACGTATAAATATGCTAAAATCAATAAACACAAAACACCAATATTTTGCGGTTACCATGTGGTTACATACCTAAGAAATTACCCTGGTAGACTGACACATATCCTTCGCCGCCGCAGATCAGCCCGCCTCCATAGTCATTCCCACCTTTGCACTCCATGTCGCAGTTCGCCTCGTCATCATACTCGACTTCCAGGTCGGCCATCGAGTTATGGCAGATACAGTATGAACCATTGTACAGGGAGGCGTACATAAAACCAAGTACGTCGCACTCGCCCACGCATTCATTGACGGTGATACCAGGGTAGGGAATGACAGTGGTGACGTAGGGCGTGGTGACACCTTCAGTCGTGGTCGGTTCGGCGGTGGTCGGTGCGCCGGTTGTCGTCGGAGCGTTGGTAGTCGGTGGTTCCGTAGTACCCGATTGTTTTGTGGTTCCAGCGTTGCCAGCGGCGGTGGTCTCACCACCAGCGGCTCCGGTCGTACCATTGCCACCTGTTTGGGATAGATATATATATTTCTGTTTCATTGATATGTAATTTAAATGTTCGTTTTCTGTAATGAAGGTGAGGTTCTCTTATTGGGGAGCAGCCTTTAATGGTACGGCAAAATTAATTCAAACATTTCATGTTACTTTAAAAGTCTTTATTGTTTAAGTCTTTGGAAAATCCAGGAGTTTTTTATCGTAATATCCTTTCCTTCCCGTTTCCCTTTCCCCATTACTATTTGATATAATTGCACTTATTGAAGATGGTTCCTCATGCAGCCCATTGCGAAATTGTTGGGTTGACGACTTGGCGTAAATCTTATTCATTGTTTCCTTTTCGTGTTCTAGATATGTCACTTCCCTTTCCTTTTCTCAAACTAAATCCTGGGCCCCGTCTTCAATATATAGAGTCTCCTTTTGATCCAAATCAATCGCAAGTCCTCTAATCAAACGTAAGTTAGCAATCCCCTATCTCTAGTCTTATATTCATATTTCCAATTAGCCTGCGATTAACATCAACTCTTTATAAGACGGGGCCCAGATCTTGTTTCTATTTCTCCTTCACTTTAAAACCAGTCATAAACAAATTTAGACTTATTTTGTACATGTCATGAAGCTTTGTTATTATCCATCTTTCCATTTCGACTTTTACCTGTCAATCCCGCCGCAGTAGTCCCGTTTTCAGTTGCTCCACCGACCGGTCCACTGGTTGTTCCAGCCTCTGAAGAAGAAAAAAAATTATAAATATTAAAGTTGAATGTTAGGCCTATATAATTCAGATAACGTTTTTCACAAACTCTTTACACCGAGCCACAACGATTGAATACTAAACTTGCAAGAAACATAAAGTTTGAAATGTTTTCTTTTAAAGACATGCTAATGGGCGGATATGTATATTAACATGATCACGGAGACTTTCAAGAAATGAACTTAAAGGCATCGTTTAACAATATTAAATCTGAGATGCACGGCCCAACGTGTTATCAGTGTCTGTGATATGGTGCCTCAAAAAGTGAAAATCTTTTAGTGACTGGTTTTACCATACTCGTTTTCCCCAATGGACTGTAGTGTAATGAAAACCGTTAGGAAAATGCAAAATTTGGTTTCGATTTCCAATCATAGATATCTTGATAATCAGACAGGCGCTCGGCTTGTAAAAGTCATGGGGTTCCTGACTGACCTAAAGGTTTATAATTATCATTGCAGCATGAGCTAAATCCAAGATTTTGTTTCAGAATATGAGACAAAGTTACCGGATCTCTTTAAGTAAACAATTTCTTGATGAAAACATAATATAGATACAATAAATAGATGCACATGATTTATATTCTTCAGGATGATGCGGATATTTTGATGCTTGATTTTTTTAAAGTAGCTGCTGTTGCTTTTTTCGTTTATTGTAATAAAAGAAAAGTCGTTCTTTGGCTTTACTTGTTTTTTTAGGTAAATTTGGCAAAAGAACGTATACAAATATATGTGATTAAGCCTATATATTTTTGTCGGTGTCATATCATTTCATTTTGCAAATTGCTTTTTTACAAATTGCTGGAATGTTACTAAGTTGCTGATTTCGATCACTAGCATAAATACTACATGTATTGTAGGAGTCATCTTGGCTGAGCTAGGGAAAGGGGCGAACCCCAAGTCCTCCCCTCTCTCCCTCCCCCTGTTGCAAGGGTTGCAATCCTTGGTCCCTTAATTACCTCCAGCAGTCGTCATTGCTTCGTTTACGGTCGTTTCCCTGTTCAAAGTTGTTGCTTCGTCAAGGGTAGTCATTACTACCGTGGTCGTCATCGCCATCGTTGTGGGATCAGCAGGCTCGATGGCGACCATACTGTTCTTCGGCCTCCCACGGTAACATCCGCGATAGCTAGATCCTGCAGAACAAAAATATCCATGTTAATGATTGATTATGATCGCCCGATAGGCTGCGAATTGTGACGACCAGTCGCAAGAGTTCCACGATTGCGGAAGCCGATTTTGTATTTTCTTTGACTGGTGGTAGGTGTGGATTCTTTTCTTTCCGCTCTCAATGGAAGGATGATTTCAAATATTTAATATTTGTTCACGTCTAAAATGTGAATACAGGTATTGTAAATATAGTCGTGACGTAGCTCGGGAATAGTGGCGCGTGTGCTTGATCGAGGCCTTTAGGCCCTATCTGAGATTACACAAATTCGTTTTAAAACAATTTTGTTATGAAAACGTATTAACCGTGATTGAGTCATCATCAATGTACTTATTTCGTTAACTTCCAAACTGTAGGTTTGTTTTCATACTAAGATGCGTTTATATTATGAGCCTATTACATTCTGAATAACGCAAAGTTTGAGAATGCGGAATATCATACCGATTGTTTACTGCAATTACTATTTTTCTCATGAAGGTACAAAATGGCGGCTCACTCCGTCACTTTTTATTCGATGTTGATAACCAGGGCGTCAAAGAACGTACATAGGAACTTTTAGATTTGCACGTCTACAGCTTCGACTGCAACGTGTGACGCCATTTTAAGGCACTGCGCATGCGTCACGTCGTCTCAGTAGGCGATCGAGAATGCTTCATCCTTGATTTTCCTAAATCTAGTACGGTACTAGTATGTCGCGTGCCCATAAAATATACAGTTCCTCAGGTAGACAAAGGAACATCGATCCCTTCCCTGCTATTATGTAAAAATGTGTAGAACAGGTGTCACATGCATATTATAATAGCAGTGAAGGGATGTTCTTTTGTCTGTCATGTTCATAGTGTTACTTCCTGCATGCATGTTTATCGTCGAGTGCAATCTAAGATTTCTAATTGTAGTCAACATGGGCAGTTGAGTACGTTGACACGCATGATCAGTCGGCGTTCGTCGTGTTCTCGTCCACTCAATCTAAAAGTCCCTATTGTATTAGACACCCACCATCATTATCATTGTGGGTAACTACAATTCGATTGATTTGCGATTGTCTTACAGAAACCCACTGTCAACATTTGAAATAGTGACAATTGCATCTTTTATTGCAGAACTGTAGGGCAATCCGAAGGTTCAACACTGCGTTAAGAGTTGATCTTCTCTTTCATATTGTTACAACAAATCTTTGTATTGGAGAAAATTAACGTTCAGATTTAAGAATTATAAAATTGAGGTTTTGAGATCTTTTTGTTTCATTCAAATGGTCAAAACAATATTGTCATCTTCTACCTGTATTAATGAGAAATGTTTAAACTCCATCGAAACCTAATAGGAAACCTCAGCAGGTAGTTATCTTAAGCCCGTTGCACATAGGACGGCATTTTCTTGACTTGCCTGGCGTAGAACATACTGCATCGCTGACTAGCTGGTTCGGTGTTTGAACAATGTACAAAATGCTTTGAATAACTGATGTTAAGTTAGTTAAGTCTTTGCAATCGCGATGATGAGTAGTATACAAAAGGCTACAACAAATATATGTATATATATATATAATCTATATAGAACAAATAATTAAATGTTAATATTCCTCTGTTACGGCAATATACATACAAAAATAAGAATCTAAACGATTGAAATAAAAATCCTTGAGAGTTCTCTTCTTCAACTCTAAATGATATTTATTTCAATCGTTTTAATTATTATTAAAATATAGGCCTATAGATATTTAAATACAGAAGAGCTTAATTCCAAAAGGAGCTAAATCCACTTTTGATGAAAATTGAGTTATTGATGTCAGAACGTTGTACACTTAAGTACCCGTCTTTCAACAAAGTTATTAACCTTAATTTTTGGAGCAATTATGAAAAAATGCATCTTCTGATATCACTTTTCCATTGACGCCTGCACAAAATCTGGAAGTATTTTCTTTCTTCCCTGAAGTTACACAAATGCAATTTAGCTCCTTTTGGAATTAAACTCTTCATATATCATCATCATCAATTCATCATCAAATAGAACTGTAGCTAGCCCCTACCTGTTGCATAGACAGAGACATGGCCATCGCCTCCGCACGTATGATTGGCGCTTCCTGACGATCCAGGGCACGGCGTATCACATCCCCACGATGCACTAAAATCGTCCAAGTGTGTCGTCACCATGTTTCGTGTGCAATGACATTTGCTCCCAGATACACCTAAAAGAAGGCGGACATTATTGATAAGGATATAAATGAAGAAAAAAAAAAGAGGTGCTAACCTTACCCAAAAATTAACATGACAAGTTAATATTATTGAGGCCGAGGACGAAAGAGACGTCCCCCCCCCCACACACAAACAAAACAGTCCCCTGCAAAAAAAAAATTACCCCCCCCCCCTCTCTCTCTCTCTTTCTCTCTCTCTCTCTCTCTCTCTCTCTCTCTCTCTTAAATTGTCATTCGACCTGAGTGGCTGGCACGTGCCACCTTGTGCCTCTGCCTCTCCCCCCCCCCCGGCTACACCCCTGCACGTGTTACTTACCCGCAAACCTGTAGCCGAGTTCCCGACATGTCGCCATGCAGCCTCCTAGAGTCATCTGGTCGTGGTCGTCGAGTTCCACTGCGTTATAATCATTTGTGAAGTCCGACGTCGAAACACAGTTGATGTTGGGGAAAACTGAACAGAGAGATAATTTTATTTTTAATGTATATTATTATATACATGATGAAAACATGATGAAAAATTAAAACTCTCTGTCTGATGAGAACCCTAGCTCTGAAAATACTTGCAGAATGCAGATTTGGTAATAACATCAAGACGGGAGGGTTAGCAGGTTAGGGGGATCGATGAGGGGGGCCAGTGTATTGGTAAATTACTATGATTTTTATTTAAAAAATGATATTGTATGTTAATTAATATGATTTTTGCTTTTGGACCCCGTGGAAGAACAGGACCATTTTGAAAATGAGCTATCCAACCGTTTGTCAATACTTGACACATTTACTTACTTTCTTGTCGTTTGAAATGTGTTTTATATGTATGTTTTTTTTTTTTAATGGATTTCGGAAATAAAAACAAACAAGACAAACAAACAAACAAGACATTCCCTAGCTATGACATGCTTTTTCCAACTGACATTCTGGATATTCGGAAGATCCTTTGGAAGCATGCCATTCTATCAAACATAAACAAGTACTTAGTACAGTCTCTTGACAAACAATGCCTAATCGATGACCGTTGGTCCCTCATGGTCCCCTTTTTCTTATGTTAATTGAGAACAGGTTTGATGAGATAACCACCTGTCAGTGACCATGCAGGAAGGTTTAACTCTAATACCTCCTGGCCAAACTAAGGCAGATAGACTTTAAAATGATTTTTAAATGGATATATTTACTTGTACATGGGACACCACAATCTCTGACTCCAGTGTTGGGTCCTACGCAGTCCCTTCCTCTGGCCACCACTCTGGGATTGGTGCAGTTCCTGTATCTGGTTTGAAGACAGCTGTCTGAACACTCCGAATAGTCACCCCATGACGTGAATCCACCGTTCACAGGAGCAAGAGCTGCAGGTTAAAGGTAACACAAAGTTTTGGTAAGAGGTCATGAATTTGGTTCAGACGAACATATTGGAAGCATAGGCTATTTTTTCCTCAATATTCAATGATCGTTGTCGCGGTTAAGATCGAGTCTAAGTGTAAATAACAAACTCGTTCTGTTGTACAGCTCCCTCTCAAGACTGATATTACTTTAGCTTTAAAACAATGTTTCTTGACTACAATCGACCGTTTTGCTATTCCCGTTTGGAGATTATATATGAGAACTTCATATTCTGAAATTGTTATGGTCGCAGCTACCATGGAATGGCTTAGACGCTATTTGAAATATTTAAAATGATTATTCAATTTCTCGAAAGCAGAAGTGTTTTAAGGGCTAAATTTTCTAGTGCTTATAATACATCCACAGGGGCATCTGATTATATCAAAACTTTAAAGAATTACTATCCATCCAATTTTCAAAATTTCCGAAAACTTTGTATTACCTTTAAAGGGATAATTGAGTGATATCAAAACATATCTATGTATGAATTCATAGATAGTAAGGTTTTAGAACTTGTTTTTAATAATCTTCTTTGAGCCCGAGATATTTTGAGTTTGTGAAGAATGGTTCATTCTGTTTGGTCTTTTGCTTTTTTTAATTCATAAAGATGTATATTTGAAATGGTTTTGTTTGATTGATAAACTAGTTTCCTTGATTTGACTGGGATGATACTTCTGAGACCTTCTAATTTGTTAGTTGGTTGATTGGATGATGGACAAAATAAACGAGTGATTTATTGTATGATTGGTTTGTTGGCTGATTTGTTGATTGAGTAATAATTGGGTGACGGAGAAACTGGTTGGTGGGTGGGCTGAGAAAACGATTGATTGATTGATTGTCTACCTAAATTGGTTTACTAATGGGTGGTTTGATACTGGCCAATCTTCCCATCAAATCTCGATCATCAAGTAGACTAAAGACTAGATGATTGCATTAGTGATTGATAATTTGATTGAAAATTGATCAAACAATTGATTAGTTTTTTTTTTTTTTTAAGTAAAAGTAAGAATTTTCCTATCGTCAAAAAGAAGTCCCCATGAGTATTTCAAGGCGCTCACAAGTCCAACCTTTTGTTGATTAGCTTGTTCGTGGCCTGATTGATTGACGGCTTGTCACTCTGAATGATTCCTACGGAATAGGTGATTGACTGATTGATTGGTCGACTGATAAGGAATAACTCATTGATTGACGGATTGTTTATCATCATTATGTGTGATGATAGATTGCTATTTTATTGAGGGGTGTATTGATTGATTGATAAGGGAATAATTAATTAATTGGCTAATTGATTGGTAAATTGGTAGGATGATAATTGATTCAAAGTGATCAAATGTATATTATAGTTATTAGGAAATCTTCATTCACATGTCGTTTTACAAAACATAAGCATGCTAACAAATATGAAATATTGACTATTGATTGATTATTGAGTACGATTTTTCAAACAAATTAATGTAAAAATATAAATAAATAAATAAATCTCACCGTCACAATAAGTGCCCATTAATCCTTCTGGGCATTCACATGTGAATCCATTGGGTACGCATTCCTCAATACAAAGGTTACCTTCGTTACATGGGTTGTCAGCACACGGATGTTGTTCACCCTAAAAAGAGAGCGAGAGATAGATAGAGAGAGAGAGAGAGAGAGAGAGGGGTTGATTTGATTCGATTTGGTTTAGTTCATTTATGTTCTATTTCATTTAAACCTCGAACGGTTTGTCCAATGGCGATTCTAGAGAGGAAAGCTCAACCCCCCCCCCCTCCCCAATAAAAACTTGAATAAGAAATTGAATGCAAGATCTCCCAACCCCCTCCCCCTCAGCTCCGTCCCCCTCCCCGGCTCCCCAACTACCCCAAGTGAGTTTGTCAAAGGTGGATTTAGATATATGTATGTATATGAAGATATATAATGACTGAGTGTAAACAAAATCCCCCCCCCCCAAAAAAAAAAAAAAAAAAAAAATACCGGAAATTTTCGGTTCAAAATGAATTTAAGTGAGGTAAGAAGTAGAAAATGATTGAAAGATCCCCCAAGGCCCCCCCCCCACTCCCACCCCCATCCCCCCAAAAAAAAATCTTCTAGAACCGCGCCTGCGTTTGCCGAAGGTAGATGGTGATACATGCACATTCAGCAACAGCAAAATGGACACTATTCATATAGTAAATATCTTCAAATAACTATTTTGTATAAACTTTTCTTTCATATATTAAAATACAAAAAAAATCAATCCTGAAACTACCGTTGGCATTTAGAGCTCAATCCTCCTCTTTGTTTCTCATTCTTTGTTTTCATTGTTGAACAAGAATGCCCTACCGAACCTATGTACATTTCAATCGGGGTAGTTGCTCTATTTTCTTAATGTCCTCATAAAACATATTCTAAAAGTTAAATGGATGTGCCCTGCCAAGCATGATACTAAAATTGGCTGTTGGTACGGTATTTTATTGACTGTACATACAAATGAAAAAAATGAATAATAACGAGTGTGCACTTTCTTTTTCCATTTTTGTTTTGCTGATTGTATAAAGATATATAACGATTTCATGGAAAATATGATACAATAGGACAAAATTGTAATCAGTACAGTAACGTTATTTATAAATTGAAAAGAATGTGAAAGGTATAACTCGTGTTGCCATAATCAATCAAACACTATTTTACCTCTCACATAAACCGCTGTGTAACCGTTTACGACAAATCAAATCATCGTATATAACACACTAAACCCGAACGGAATTGCAATTGACTATGTAATATTTTGTTCGATAAAATGTCAATATTATCGGAGATTTGTATAAAACGAAAATGCGTATGTAGACATTTACGTCAAGTGTTGCCATAGTAACGGACTAATAATAGGACCGTTAATGTCTTCTCAACAAAGACAGACTACTTCTGGCCTCGCCGGGCAGCGGTGCGGCGTAGTTACGGGGGTGGTGCTCCAATCGAATTGTAACAGAAATGAAGTTAGAGCGAGGGGATAGAAGGAGGAAAATGACAAAGGAACGTGAGATGATATCAGAAAATAGATATGCTCTTCAAAGATTATGCTATAATTGTGAATGAGTAAAATGGGGACAACGTGATCTCTTTTTTTTATCATGATCTTTTCTAAGACTCTGGGAAATCCGATTTGCGTCCTTGATGTAGTGTACAGCAGAGAAGAAAAATTAATGGAGTTAGTTGTGAAAGATAGGATACATACTGGAAAATAGACGGTGAAAGTAATAACTGTGTGTCTGTTTTCACTTAAAATGCAACATTTTCCGAAGTAAGGGGTTTATCTCCTCCCGACCTGGTCAAACTGCTCACTTGAATCTTGACCATCTACTAGACTGAAGTCACTGAAGACTGGTGCCACTGTTGCAGGCTATAACCTGGATTTTGTTTCTTAGAAGCAAATCAAGGTAAAAAGTTTGTCTGCGGTATTATGGAGCTAAGATGAAAGCATTGTGATTAAAAATTAATAATTAATTGTGATTAATAGATTGAAAATCAGTGGCAACAGAAAATTGAAGTTACTGATGGACAATTGTCGGCGACTGCATAGGTAAGATGCATAAATGACAATGAAAACTATCGATTGCCGTATAAATGATAATATATTCATTACACAATTATGTAAGTCCTGTTCACTCAATGAGATGGGGGTTAAGATCGATTTCAGTTTTCGCGTACTTCATATTTTACGACCAATTATAAGGATCTCTCTTTTGCATGTTCCTGACTAGCATTGATAAATAATTAATTGGTCTATTTTTTATATTTATAAATAGCTCATTTTTGTTTGTTCACATCTCAAGTTGTTAAATTTGTAACAAGTGGGATTAACTTATAAGAAAATGTCAAACGTTAACCCTTAGGCGGATATATTATGTTGACCCCGGCCCCCGTAGGCTGATACGGAACCGAAGAGAGAACCCCGACCCCCGCCGAAAAAAAATACACAGGGTTAAACATCCAAACTACATATTCCGTTCCAAAATTCCCTTTACTATATTACAAAATTGACTAACAAATTGACTAACCTACATCACTAAACTAGCACACATTTGTTTAGGTTTACAGACAATCTAATATAGGTTTACGAACTGCGCGATGCCATCCTGAATGGCGCAACAACTCTTTAGTCTCTATCAATGCAATCGATAATCGACGTCAGGAGAGATTTGCTTATCAATGCGCGGTATTCACAAGAGGGTTTGTCTGTTATCGATTTTTAGTGCAGAGAACGGTATATAGGGAAAGTATGATGTGAGTTTCTTCGTGGATACAGGGAGAGATTTCCCCCGTTTACTGTTTCATCACAGATTGTATTAAAAAGCTGCGAGCCCTTTACATCGTGATTATTATATTGTAGACCGCCCCCAAATTAACACGCCTTGAAACCATCTATAACTAAATTAATGAGGGATCTTAGAAATTAGAGGAATTTAAAAGGAAAATGTTTTGCGTTTTTATGGAAGCCAGTGTCGTTGTTTGTATTATTTTCTTTGAATTTGTTTTTAAATTAAGTAACTTTTTCTGAGATGATGACATGTGGACGGAATTGAACCATCAATCAAAATGGAAGCGGGAGTATAAAATAGTTTATATATTATATTGGTGATTCAAGCTGATACGTGAAAGCTAGCCGGCTATTTTAAGGACAATAAGAAGCAGATTCATAGATATTCTGACAGTTGATTGTTAATTAAATTACAATAATTAAAAATGAATGTATTAAAAAAATTACATGTAAATTTATTTTGAACATCGTTATAGATTGAATGAAAATACACATTCTGATTAATTTTCCGTGTTTTATTTAGTTAATTCATGAAATCACCAACAAAATTGGCTATAATTATACTCGATCCTCTAAAATTCAGCTATTGAAAAGTACTCCTATCTTAATGTTTGATTCGTTTTTTGAGTGAGTGTTTATGTTGCACTTTGTACACATTTTCATTAAAGGTAGGCCTACCTTTGAACTTTTAAAGAAATTTTATTTTGAATTGATTTGTCAGGTCAGTCGAAATAAAGAAACTTGTCTTCTATTTGTAAATATGCTACCATATATCTTTAACAACACGGTGACTCTAACAGTGAAACAAATACATTAAAGGAAAACATATTAATAATGAATGTATCATAAATTCGCCCCACCCCCCCCCCAAAAAAAAAGGAGAACTAAAGAAGGAAAAAAAAGAAGAGACATCATAAAATGGAGGTTAAATGACATATATCAGGGGAAATTATTCTTCCCGAAACCCTTCAGCATACTTCAAAGTTTACAAGAATCAGATGGCGTTATATTCATCTGCAGTTTATATAAAAATAAGTTTGAATTTGTATTACCATGCCTAGTCTTTTGTCAAATTGTTGCTATCATTAATGTGTTAACTTTCTCAGGAGTTTAAATGTAAAAATATGTTAATTTCTTAAGTAATGTTAGTAATGTTTGATTTTCCCGGTAATTTAAGCAGTTAATTTGTTCAGTTATGTTTGTATTATTTTATTTTATAGGTAATGTAAGTAGGCTATATGTTAATTCCATTAGTAATATTGATTTTTCTTGAATTAATCTTCATTGTGTACAGCGCTTTTTGAAACTTCCATGTCACAAACGCTTTTTAATTTTTTTAATTTTTTTTATAATATGATTCATATAACTTCGTATGGTATTTATCTGGGTTTTAAGAAGAAAGGGACCCACCATGTTGACTCGATTCTAAATGTCAAGACTAAATGTTACCAATTACAAGGGTTAGCTAGATTTATACAATTAAAAGTATCTTCCATATTTCTATTCATCTTTATTAATTTGTCATTATAAGATTAAAATAGGTACAATATTCGGGCACCTCGCTGCCCAAATATAAGATGTCTTTCGAACAAGAAATCAAAATCTTACCACATTCGGATTAACACCATCGGCGTATGTGTATCCATACTTCGCCTCAAGGTTCAACAAAGCTGACACTTGATGAAGATTACAAGTCGTGTTCACCTCGTTAAATTCATAGCTCACACAATTCGGGTTTTCCAAGCAGCGCATCGAGCATGCCAGGCGCGTACTCGCGTACAGTTCGACAATGGGTGTCGCCGAGATCCCGCAGTCCTCGAAACGAGCCAGTTCCATGAAGGCCGATCGCCTGGTCGGACCACGCTCAAACTGACCCTCGACCAGGGAACCGTGGAAAATACAGACCAAAACGACAACGATGACGGTGCTCATAGCTGGTATGATGCAGCGGTATTCCCCAGTGATGCGCATCGTTGGACGGGCACTCGCTTTGGAGGTGCAAAGAGTGGTCCCGGTTGGAGCTGTTTCTCCCTCCATCGCCATTTTCTTTATTTTGTTGTCCTGTTAAAAGGAGGGCCGCTTTACACAATTCGATAGCTCACCCCTTCTTTTGTTTACTGCCTTGTACAAGAGGAGGGGTAGAAGTTTTATTGATTAGCAGAGTGTCTTGATCGACATGATGCAACACAAATAGAAATATATCGATTTTTGTTTTCTTCTCGTCGTCCGCGAGTTCGCTCATCTTTCCTGGCCGTGGATTCGAAGCAATAAATTATAAAGTCTGTTAATAGTGTTTGAGATGTGTTCTCTCGAAAGAATAGGGCACACTTCTCATCGTAATCCTCAGTATATACTCAATACACTAAATACTGAACTTCACCTTGTCGTTGAGTGGATCAAATGTAACAAACTTTCCATAATTCTTGACAGGACAAATACATGTATCATGCTTTTTAGTAATAGTACATACTAACCCGGACAAGTTAGTCATATTTGATGGAACCACCTTAAGACGGTTACAGAGTAGTAGATTTTTAGGAATATTTATTGACGAAGATTTATCTTGGAAGCTACCTGTTAATAATGTGTGTAGAATTGTCTCCAGAAATAAAGGGATGGTTAACAAATTGAAACATATCTTTCATCAGTCAACATTAAATTCTTTATACTATGCAATGATATATCCCTACCTCAAACGTGGTTCATTAGCATGGGGTGATGCAAGCAAGACCCTAACAGACAGGATACCATTCGTTCAGAAGAAAGCCATGAGAATGATCTGCAACACTATCTACCGTGCGCATATAATTTCTCTAATAATATTTTGAGGATCAATGAAAAAAAAATCCTGTTTCTGATGAATAATCATGAACTATATTGTGACGTTTTTTTAACAATCGTTTGCTAGGAAGAAATACTTTACAATTACCCTACAAGGCCATCTGTCTCGTGCCATTTACCAAGGACCAGAACATTTGCACTTTTACTGAACCGAAAATATGGATAGTTCCCTTCCCCCAATGAAAGAGGGAGACCAGGCCAGAATCAACTGGGAAGAGAATGTCAAGAACGGGACTGGACTAAAACTGCAAGAGTGCACCAGAATGGCAGAAGATAGAGAGAAATGGAGAGATGTTGCAATCAACCTTGTAAACTAAATGCATATGGTGTTAGAGCTTTAGATTGGTTTAAAAATTATTTGAATAACAGGTATCAGTAGGTTGTGGTCAATGGTGTCCAATCTCAACGTAAACTTACTAAATATGGAATTCCGCAAGGCTCTGTACTCGGGCCCCTCCTGTTCCTTGTTTATATAAATGATATAACACAATCTTCCAAATTATTTCGCTATTCATTATTTGCTGATGACACATGCATCTTATATAACTTCTCACAAGAATATCTATAGTTTAATGTCCATTACTAATAAAGAAGTTAATAATTTATATGATTGGTTCTGTTGCAACAAACTCTCATTGAATTTTGACAAAACAAAGTTTATGATTTTCAGAACGAGGAACAGGAGGGTCCCGAATGATCTTAATAATATTACTATTGGTGGTCATGATATATCACGTGTGGATAATGTTCAATTTTTAGGTATTACAGTCAACGAATTTCTCTCATGGAAACCGCATATTAGTAGTATCTGTACTAAAATATCAAGATGTATAGGAATCATATCAAGGCTCAAATTTATATTACCACAAAACATACTTGTCACTTTATATTATAGTTTAATCTTGCCTCACCTAACATACTGTAACTCAGTATGGGGTCATACTTTCAAAAGCCATCTTTCTAGATTAATAATACTTCAGAAAAAAGCAATTAGACTTATTACATCATCCCCATATTACTGTCCGAGTATGCCATTATTTAAGAAAATGAATATTTTACCAATCTCTGAATTAATTTCTATGAACTCTCTTATTTTTATGAATAAATACCAGTCTGGATTTTTACCAAAAATATTTGAAAATATGTTCACCCTTAATTCGTCTGTACATAATTACAACACTCGTCAATGTAAATTATTTCATCCACCTAAGATTTCAACTTCCATAGCCTCAAACTCCTTCCGTGTAAAATATATTAAATTGTGGAACAGCCTTGATCACAGTATTCAACAAAGCTCTACTCTGTCAAAATTCAAATTTTCTATAAAAAGACTGTATCTCACCAATATTAATACGTGCTAAGTAGATATATAAAATGTATTAATTAATTCTAATTTTCTTCTCCTATTTCATGAGCTCTCTCTACTCCTACCATTTACTCTTTCTCTTTGCTTTTCACCATGCCTACTCATTCTAATTTTTTTCTTCTGCAATACTGACTCCCCCCCCCCCCCCTCTCTCTCTCCTTCTCTCTCTCTCTTTCTCTTTCTCTTTCTCTGTTTCCTTCTCCCTATGTTTTCTTTCCCTATGATATTTTACTATATCTCATCTATCTTATTGTGTGTGTATGCTAGTGTGTGTATGCTAGGGTGTTTGTATGTGTGTGTGCGTGTGTGAGTGTGTGTGTGGATGTGTGTGTGTGTTTATTTCTAAGATTGATTTGTATTGTTTGGAATCAATACAAAAAAAAACTATTGGAAAAGAAAAGTGTGTGTGTTTGTGTGTGGTTGTGTGTGGGTGTATGTTATAACGCACCCACACCCACTTACGACCCCACCCTCATATATAGGCTTATACCCACATGAACCAATTTCATATCCTCCCGAGAAAAGAATGACGATTGTTAAACTTATAATAAATAATAACGTGACATGTATTCAGATTCGGCTTTGTTGAAGATACCTTGTGCTCATTTTGTAAGCAAAAGATTGAAAAATATTTACACTTGTTCCGGGAGTATGTACATGTTCAAATGTTATGGCAGAATGTAATAGCTAATAGCTAATAAGAATTAAGGTCTATCGACTGGATAGATATTCATTTAGGGTTGTCCGGTAAGTCCCCACGAATAAAGATATTTAATACAATTATTTTTGCAATGAAATATTGGATATATATATGCAGGGGAAAGTCCGAAATATTGTCTTTGGGTGAGTTTCAAACAGAACTGCTGGAAGAAGAAGGGAATACTGCAGGGAGGGCAGGTAAATTCTTGATCTCGGTTGGCGGACTCTGGGACCTGCTTGTTTTGGGGGCTCTAGTAATTCCTTTTTTTTATATAGCGCCCAATACACCGATCCAACGATGTGTCTAAGCGCTTTACAGATATATTATTACCCCGGTCATCGGATTAAGGCTTACCCGCACACAATGTGTGCACATTTTCCACTCCCTGCGCGTGTGAGACCAGTGGCGGATCCAGGGGGCCGAAACGGCCGCGGCCCCCCCCCCCCCTATTGGCGGCGCAAAAAAAGGAAGAAAAAAACAGAGGAAGAATAGAAGAGAAAAGGGGAAAGGAGAAGAGGAGAAAAAAAAGGAGAAGAGAAAAGAAAGGAGAAGAGAAAGGAAAAAAGAGGAAAAAAGAAGAAAAAAGATAAAGAAGAAAGCCCCCAGGGGGCGGCAATCCTGGGCCCGATAGGGGGACACGTCCTCGAGGAAATTTAGAAATATAGCTAGAAAGAAATATAGCGGAAAGAACGTACATATTGGGCTTAGGGATTTTCTAGAATGCATAATTTCAGCATTCAACATTGCAAAATCTAGCTTGGTCGCTACGCCCCGGCCCTCGCCCGATAACACAAAACTATGACGCTCCCGGCCGTAACTTATCCATGGTTGGTGTAAAAGATCTTTTTTCCCTTTCATTTCTACTAACCTAATTGTGTGCTATCACAATCATGATTGTTTCATTTTCTCTTTAAAGCAGACGCGTAGCCAGGGGCGGTAGGGGCAGTAAGAGGACATAGGACGAAGAAAGAGCAGACAAAGAAACATTTATGAAAATTCTGACAAGTCGAGAACGGTAAAACGAATCGTCTTCTTTCTCTAATAATTTAATGAAATGTCAAAGCTTCCGCGCATCGCTCGGGAGGGGGAAAACTGAATTCAAACAAGGATTAAGAGACGAGAATGGTAAAACGATTCGTTTTTTTTTTCCTCTAATAATTTAATGAACCGTCAAAGCTTACGCGCTAGGCGCGGGCAGGGGAAACTGAATTCAGACAAGGATTAAGAGTCGAGAATGGTACAAAGAATCGTCTCCTTTCCCTTTTAATTTATTGAAACGTCAAAGTTTCCGCGCTTCGCGCGAGAGGGGAGGGGAGCGGGGCGGGAATTCAATTCAAACAAGGATTAAGAGTCGAGAACGGTACAAAGAATCGTCTTCTTTCTCTAATAATTTAATGAAATGTCAAAGCTTCCGCGCATCGCTCGGGGGGGGGGGGAACTGAATTCAAACAAGGATTAAGAGACGAGAATGTTAAAACGATTCGTCTTCTCCCTCTAATAATTTAATGAACCATCAATGCTTACGCGCTTCGCGCGGGAGGAGAGGATGGGGGGGGGTGGTGGGCGGGAACTCAATTCAGACAAGGATTTAGAGTCAAGAACGGTACAATGAATCGTCTTCTTTCTCTAATAATTTGATGAAACGTCGAGGCTTCCGCGCTTCGCGCAGGGGAAACTCAATTTAGACAAGGATAAAGAGTCGATGACGATAGAACGAATCTTCTTTCTCTAATAATTTAATGAAACGTTAATTAAGCTTCCGCGCAAAGCGCATGAGGGGGAACTGAATTCAGAGAAGGATTAAGAGTCGAGAATGGAACAACGAATCATCTTCTTTCTCTAAAAATTTCATTAAACTATGAAAAGCCAAAGCTTCCGTGCTTCGCGCGGGAGGGGGGGGCTGAATTCAGTCAAGTAATAAGAGTCGAGAATGGTACAACAAATCTTCTTTCTCTAATAATTAATAAAAGGGCAAAGCTTCCGCGCTTCGCGCGGGCGGGAGGAAACTGAATTCAGACAAGGATTAAGAGTCGAGAATGGTACAACGAATCGTCTTCTTTCTCCAATAATTTAATGAAAGGTTAAAGCTTCCACGCTTCGCGCGAGAGGGGGGGGGAACTGCATTCAAACAAGGATTAAGAGTCTAAAATGTTACAACGAATCGTCTTCTTTCTCTAATAATTTAATGAAACGTTAAAGCTTCCGCGCATCGCGCGGGAGGGGGAAAACTGAATTCAGAGAAGGATTAAGAGTCGAGAATGGAACAACGAATCATCTTCTTTCTCTAATAATTTCATTGAACTATAAAAGGTCAAAGCTTCCGCGCATCGCGCTGGACGGAGAAAACTGAATTCAGACAAGGAATGTAAGTCGAGTATGGTACAACAATTCGTCTTCTTTCTCTACTAATTAATGAAAGGTCGAAGCTTCCGCGGGTAAGAGCCTATAGCCCCCCCCCCCCTTCCGATGAAAATGTCAAAAATTGTACCGGTATGGTGCTTCTAATATGACCTTGAAAAAACGGTCTGCGCATTTTCGCCCCCCCCCCCCCCCCCCCCTATTGGAAAATCCGGGATCCGCGCCTGGAGACTGTATCGTATCCATGATCGTATCCTACCATCTTTCATGTTTTGAATTGCGCAGATCCTTGAAACACGTTGGTCTCTTTGCCAATCCGCTTGGATTGAGAGGTCCATCCTCCACAGGGGCCCCATTCACAAGCATTGCTTTTTGGGGTCTCAATTTGGATCATGTTTGTTCGTCATGATTACTATGCCATGTGTTTTTTAATAAACTGAACTGAACTGAACTGAAGTGGGAACAAGTGAAGTTTTCTTGAACTTTTAACACTGGGCTATTGTAGCCTCGTTAAATGATTTTTTTTAAATAGATTATTTCTATTTTTCTGTCGTTCCAATTTAGGGTATTCTGAGGAGGCTAGGAACAGGGTGTGATATATGTGTGGAAGTGTGGTCGGGTGGTGTTTGTGTCGTATAGTGTTTTTTTGTTTGTGTGGGGGTAGTAGTGTGTTTGGTTGGATGGGGTTATTTGTTTTATGTTACAAGTGATTTCATTTTTGTCTTCATCAATAATAATAATAATAATATTTAGCTTTTATATAGCGCTTAATACAAATGTCTCTAAGTGCTTTATAAAATTTAATATCACCCCGGTTATTGGATACAGTGCTTGTCCGCACACTCAATCGTACAATCTATGTAATGTAAATGTTTTAAATTCATGTCAAGATGGGGAAAAAAGTATTTTATTTCTAAGATTGATTTTGTATTGTTTGGAATAAAAAATTAAAAAAACTATTGGAAAAAAAAAATGTCGGCCTCTGCATATCCAAACATTTATTTTGTCTTGTTCCGGTGTGGGTAATTTAAAGAAATCGAACCATGCAATTTCCTGTACATTATGGACAAAATTTACCTAGACCTAATTATCGTTCGCTCTTTATGATCCAAATCATGTTGTACATATATTTCTCTATACATGTTATATTGTTATTTTATGTTTCGAAATATAATTAAAATGAAAATGAAATGACATAAAGTCTTCCTAGGCACATGTCGAGCCAAATCATCGGCAATGTAATCTGTATGTGTAAATATACGCTTCATGTTATTCTTTTATCATTTTCTTTTCCTCTTTCTCTCTCTCTCTCTCTCTCTCTCTCTCTCTCTCTCTCTCTCTCCTTCCCTCTCTCTCTCTCTCTCTCTCTCTCTCTCTCTCTCTCCTTCCCCTCTCTCTCTCTCTCTCTCTCCTTCCCCCCTCTCTCTCTCTCTCTCTCTCTCCTTCCCCTCTCTCTCTCTCTCTCTCTCTCCTTCCCCTCTCTCTCTCTCTCTCTCTCTCCTTCCCCCTCTCTCTCTCTCTCTCTCTCTCTCTCTCTCTCTCCTTCCCCTCTCTCTCTCTATACCTTCTTCTCTTTTTATCTTTTTTGACCACCAAAAGAAAAAGGGGCAGCGGCCGATGTATCCACCCGTACGCAGCTGATTTATATATTACGCACAGTTTGCGGTGGGATGGGGTTTCCATCCTTTACAATACGTTGCAGACCCATGACTCGGGATGGCGATTTTTTCCTCCCACCCCCCCCCCCCCCCTCTATCTCCTTTTCCACTCTTCTCCTCTTTTACTATCTTTTCTCCTTTATTTAATCTTCTGTCGCTTTCCCCCTATAAAGAGCGGAGAGCGGCCGATTCAGCCCCCACCCGGATCCGCCATTTATATTTTTAGCTGTTCAACCTTCAATTTTATTTTTAATTTCAACCCGCATTTTTATTCGCTTTTGTCATGAAACCTGGCCATCACCGAACACAATACTTGTATATGATCTCTTCTGCCTCGATAAACATTAATGTTACAACCGGAATATATGAGTGATGTAATTGTAAATAGCCAAACAGTCAATCGTTCACTGAGAATTTCGATAATTACTGCCGACACAGGAGGCGATAGCTAGGTAAGTCACATTGTAGTGAGGGTTTTAAGCACAATCTAATCATGAAAGATTGAAAAGATATCTAAGTTTGACGGCTTGACCGATACTCATTAACTATATGCGCAGATGTGAAATGTCCAACATTGGCCAAATTAGTGATTATATTCACTGGTTTGTTATTGTATGGCATCATATTGGACAAGCCGTGTGTTCAGGGAGCTCACCTCCCTGGTATGTTCAAGCGATTTTGAGTTTTGGAAGCGACCCGTAGCTCGATCCCGACCCGTGCCACTCCAATGTGTTCATGCATGCGTATATGTATATACTTATGAATATGTATACATAATGTATGATTATATAAATATACACATATTCACATATATATATATATATATTTATATATAGTACATCTGATGTACAAGTACACCATTTTCGTAGTATAATTAGTATTAGTATCACTTTGCTAATTTTGTTTTTTGAATAAAAACAAGAAATATCGATTTAACAGTTTGTATAGTTTGCCTACACTCTTAGCAGCACTGGGTAGGAAATTACCACGAGGTTAATTTATCCAACCAACTTGACGCATTTGTGGCCTGTTTAATATTTCGCCCATATCGATGTAGGCCTAATTATTCTGTATTTTGACCCTAATTGGACATCATATATCACTCAAGCTAATCGATGAAAATGCCCAAAGTTGGTTGGATCCATTCGTGCCAGTCAATTTATACATCGTATCTGTAAGAGTATATCTGTACGAGTGTATCTTTAATACTTGGTATACCCTTTAATAATTCCAGACTGTGTTTGACCCAATTCTCATAACCCTTGGGTTAGCCTGCCATTCCAAATTCATGATCCTTGGGGACCGTACAATAATAACTTCAAGTTGAGCTCAGCATGCTCGGCAGCCGTGAAGATATTTTTAGCCTGTGTAGTGTTTGTATTATCATGCACTTCACATTTTGTCCTGAAAATAAAGAACAATTTTAAGGTACTATGTCCCTTTTGCAGGCCAAACAAATGAAAAGGGTAAATTCCAATGGCATTTGAAAGATAATACTAATTTAGAACTCCCCTTAAAAAAATGGGGCTTGAACATGTCTTTAAGTGGGAAAATAACGGCTTCTAGTTGTCGAATCGACTTAGGAGCTATAGAGCCAATAAGTCTTGATTTTCAGACCATTGTACCGCATGGTCGTTCATTTTATGCTGCGCAAAGATTCAATCAGTTTAATTTTGGCCATTACAAGAAGTGGGTTATTGATGTAGACAAATCCTGTACAGCTCATTTTATGTATTTTATTACCAAAGAAGAAGAAAAAGTCAGTCAGTCACTCAATACTGACAATAGTGTCTGACTGTGAAGTCTAGCAAGTAAACGGATTTCCTTGCATAATTTGAATATTAGGACACTGCTAATGTTTAAATTTCACAGATAGGACATTCATGACATATTCATAATTCCTGCAAAGTTCTACAGAATTTGAGGTTGGCTGCAAAAGGGGCATAGTATCTTTAAAAGAAAAATATACAAAAAATGAACCCTGCTTGCATGTATATGGCCATTATTATGTATATAGCTGGCAATGTCGTGATTGTTTACGCCTCCATTTTCCTTCTTTGGTTCTGTGCGTTTGTAAACGGATTTTCCTTGACCTTTTTTATAATAGAAATTATCCGATGAACCCGATCATTGATAATTCACTGGTTTGTTATTGTATGGCATCATATTGGACAAGCCGTGTGTTCAGGGAGCTCACCTCCCTGGTATGTTATAGCGATTTTGAGTTTTGGAAGCGACCCGTAGCTCGATCCCGACCCGTGCCACTCCAATGTGTTCATGCATGGTATATAATTATGTATATGTATACATAATGTATGATTATATAAATATACACATATTCACATGTATATATATTTATATATAGTACATCCGATGTACAAATAGACCATTTTCGTAGTATAATTAGTATTAGTATCATTTTGCTAATTTTGTTTTTTGAATAAAAACAAGAAATATCAATTTAACAGTTTGTATAGTTTGCCTAGCAGCACTGGGTAGGAAATTACCACGAGATTAATTTATCCAACCAACTTGACGCATTTGTGGCCTGTTTAATATTTCGCCCATATCGATGTAGGCCCAATTATTCTGTATTTTGACCCTAATTGGACATCATCATATCACTCAAGTTAGTCGATTAAAAATGCCCAAAGTTGGTTGGATCCATTCGTGCCAGTCAATTTATACATCGTATCTGTAAGAGTATATCTGTACGAGTGTATCTTTAATACTTGGTATCCCCTTTAACAATTCCAGACTGTATTTGACCCAATTCTCATAACCCTTGGGTTAGCCTGCCATTCCAAATTCATGATCCTTGGGGACCGTACAATAATAACTTCAAGTTGAGCTCACCATGCTCGGCAGCCGTGAAGATATTTTTAGCCTGTGTAGTGTTTGTATTATCATGCACTTCACATTTTGTCCTGAAAATAAAGAACAATTTTAAGGTACTATGTCCCTTTTGCAGGCCAAACAAATGAAAAGGTTAAATTCCAATGGCATTTGAAAGATAATACTAATTTAGAACTCCCCTTAAACAAATGGGGCTTGAAAATGTCTTTAAGTGGGAAAATAACGGCTTCTAGTTGTCAAATCGACTTAGGAGCTATAGAGCCAATAAGTAATAGTCTTGATTTTCAGACCATTGTACCGCATGGTCGTACATTTTATGCTGCGCAAAGATTCAATCAGTTTAATTTTGGCCATTACAAGAAGTGGGTTATTGATGTAGACAAATCCTGTACAGCTCATTTTATGTATTTTATTACCAAAGAAGAAGAAAAAGCCAGTCAGTCACTCAATACTGACAATAGTGTCTGACTGTGAAGTCTAGCAAGTAAACGGATTTCCTTGCATAATTTGAATATTAGGACACTGCTAATGTTTAAATTTCACAGATAGCACATTTATGACATATTCATAATTCCTGCAAAGTTCTACAGAATTTGAGGTTGGCTGCAAAAGGGGCATAGTATCTTTAAAAGAAAAATATACAAAAAATGAACCCTGCTTGCATGTATATGGCCATTATATGTATATAGCTGGCAATGTCGTGATTGTTTACGCCTCCATTTTCCTTCTTTGGTTCTGTGCGTTTGTAAACGGATTTTCCTTGACCTTTTTTATAATAGAAATTATCCGATGAACCCGATCATTGATAATTCAATTCCAAGAATTAGAGTCATTGAATGTATTCACTGGTTTGTTATTGTATGGCATCATATTGGATAAGCCGTGTGTTCAGGGAGCTCACCTCCCTGGTATGTTCAAGCGATTTTGAGTTTTGGAAGCGACCCGTAGCTCGATCCCGACCCGTGCCACTCCAATGTGTTCATGCATGGTATATAATTATGTATATGTATACATAATGTATGATTATATAAATATACACATACTCACATGTATATATATTTATATATAGTACATCCGATGTACAAATAGACCATTTTCGTAGTATAATTAGTATTAGTATCATTTTGCTAATTTTGTTTTTGAATAAAAACAAGAAATATCGATTTAACAGTTTGTATAGTTTGCCTACACTCTTAGCAGCACTGGGTAGGAAATTACCACGAGGTTAATTTATCCAACCAACTTGACGCATTTGTGGCCTGTTTAATATTTCGCCCATATCGATGTAGGCCTAATTATTCTGTATTTTGACCCTAATTGGACATCATCATATCACTCAAGTTAGTCGATTAAAAATGCCCAAAGTTGGTTGGATTCATTCGTGCCAGTCAATTTACACATCGTATCTGTAAGAGTATATCTGTACGAGTGTATCTTTAATACTTGGTAACAATTCCAGACTGTATTTGACCCAATTCTCATAACCCTTGGGTTAGCCTGCCATTCCAAACAAGCGCGTAGCCAGGATTTCATTTTAGGGGGGGCGATAGTGAGCACGCGAAGCGTGCGAATCACTTAAAGAGCGCGCGAAGCGCGCTCCCTAGGGGGGTGGGTGCAGGGAGGGGGGAGTTTTCCCCCTCCCGCGCGAAGCGCGGAAGCTTTGAAAGAAGACGATTCGTTGTACCTTTCTCGACTCATAATCCTTGTCTGAATTCAGTCCCTCCCCTCTCTCGCGCGAAGCTTTGACGTTTCATTAAATTATTAGAGAAAGAAGACGATTCGTTGTACCTTTCTCGACTCTTAATCCTTGTCTGAATTCTGTTTCCCACCCCCCTCTCGCGCGAAGCTTTGACGTTTCATTAAATTATTAGAGAAAGAAGACGATTCGTTGTACCTTTCCCGACTCATATTTTTTAATTTGAACTCAGTTTCCCCCTTCCCGCGCGAAGCGCGGAAGCTTTGACGATTCATTGTACCGTTCTCGACTCCTTTTTCCTTTTTCTTCCTACGTCCTCTTTCTTTTTTTTCTTCTCTTTCTCTCTCTTTTATTTTTGGCCGGCGTTTTGGGGGGCGGGCGACCGCCCCCACCGCCCCCCCCCCCCTGGCTACGCGCCTGATTCCAAATACATGATCATTGGGTACCGTACAATAATAACTTCAAGTTGAGCTCAGCATGCTCAGCAGTCGTGAAGATATTTTTAGCCTGTGTAGTGTTTGTATTATCATGCATTTCACATTTTGTCCTGAAAATGAAGAACAATTTTAAAGAAAAAAATACAAAATATAAACTCTGCGTGTATGTATAATATGGCTGTTTGTTCGTACTTGGCAATGTCGTGATTGTTTACGCCTCCATTTTCTATCTATATTTCTGTGCGTTTGTAAACGAATATTTTCATTGTCCTTTTTTTAAATAGAAATTATCCGATGAACCCCATCATCGATAATTCAATTCCAAGAATTAGAGCCCTTGAATGGTGCAATTTGCTTTGTTCATTATTGATCCATAATAGATAGACCTAGCTACATGTATAATAGTTGTGGGTTCATGAGTAATGTTTTCCGTTTTGTGAAAATGACAGATTTATTCAACCGT